ATGAAACATTTCATTAAGCATAGCTGTAAGCATTACGTATATCAGGCACCCTCCCCCATTCCCCAGTCATTAGCGAACTATGTTTCATTCTGCCTTGAACCGTAGACACAACTTCTGCAGAACAGCATTGTGTCCTTTAATTTATTAGACACTAATAAGTGTTTTTGAAAAAAAAAATTACATCAGTCAGTTGAATCGGGGATTTAAATCTTTGTTTACTGTGAAAGTGTTCTTGAGTTCATGGGGAGATAATCAGAGGATATGATCAATTAAAACAGGCAAAGGAAAAAAAGTAACTACTTTTCTGGCATGTGTCAGCACGTTATTCTCAAATGTTTAGTTTATATACGTTGTATTAAAAAAAATCATATTTGTGTTAGACTGGCTGGGTATTCTAGTTAGATACTGCAGATCTTAATTACTGATATTTGTCATTTAATAAGAATGTTGATACATTATGTATACATTGAAATTTTATCTCTCGAATTGTTCTCTGACCCTGTAATTTACTACTAAATCTAAAACTAATGGTCGACAACCATACAAACTAAGGATACAGAAATACATGAACGGGGACCAAACCAATAAGTGACTAGCTTACAAGTAACGGTTGTTCTTGATAAGACAATTAGACGGTTTTGAGTTTAGTGCTTTCTTTAGTTCTCTTTTATCTGACATTTATAATTGATAAAGCATATACTGGAAACCGGGACGGAATAATGCCCTCCCTATTCGAACTCCCGAGTAAATTTAACCAGTTGATATTCTAATATTTCTCCATGTATAATGAATAACTATTCACGTTTAATCATGTAAATATGGATTTAAGGTATCTTTTAAATCATTTTAATGAACTATTCATGCCATAAAATTGAATGAACCCTGAGTTTGTGAGAAATTGAAAGAAAATTTTAAAATAGTTTTACGTATTTTTATTTTTCCGACCTAATGATTCTATATCTTAATCAATAATTGTTATCTTTTGAGCTTTACACTAAGTTATATTTTGGTTTCAATGTGCTATAGTATGGTTGAATTGGAAATGTTTTTCCTTCTTGTTACACAAAATAGGCAGATTTCATAATTTGTTTGCCAATTATGTCTAGTCCTCTAAGGTGTAAGCTGGCATATGACACGTTCTGCATCGGGATAAAAGTACATCAACAATGTTACTGTCTCTAGACATACCTTTAACTTTATTTTTGCACAATAAACCTTTCAACTGTATGCCTAAATGCAGCACTTCATTTTCTTTTAATTGTTTAAAAAAAATAAATGATGTATACACTGTCTTATTACAATATGGTTATTAATCCCAAACCCGGATATTAAGGATAGGTCAACAACTAGGAGTAAACACATTATACACAGTGTGATACAGTAGTACTCAGGGTTTTACCGGAGGGATCTATACGACATGCAGGGGACCTCAGAGGAGACTCAGTGTCTCACATCAATACCCTGATTCCAGGATATTCTGTGAGGGCATGCTTTGGTGTAAGTCACGAGCCTTTGTGTTTTATTAATAAGCTCAGTATTCTAATGTGTGCGGTTCATGAATGTAAATGCTATCCGCCAATGATATAAGATTCCCTTCCTACTTCATTATGCTTTTATAATTCTGTATCAATAATTATTCCGTGGTATCTTATTAAGATTTTTGTTCGTTTGTGAGGATATCTATCTTGTCCGTTATGTATGGTTTTGATTTAATAAATCTTCCTCTTGTTATCAAACTTCCGATTTCCTTCTTCCACACTTAAAGTTCATTCAGTAATTACATAATGTCAGCTTCCTACTCACAATATCAATGTTCCCTACAGATTTAGGTACAGCAGAGTATTCACACAAATAGGATTGTTTTTGCATTATGAATCTACCAAATTCTATATTTTTGAAAGCTCCAGGCATATCTTTTTGTCAGCATTCACGCAGACTCTAACACTCATTAATGAACGGAAATATGTATGAGACTGATGTAGCTCCACGGTCATTTTTCAAAAACAATCATAAATTCATACTCAATAAAAATATCAGAACTGTGGCACCGTGGTCCCTACCGTTACATAGAGCTGACTTGCTCCAATAAAATAAGAGCTGACTTGCTCTAATAAAAATGACTTCAACATTCATTATAACATTTTTTATGCTATATGCGTAAAAGCTAAGTCGTGACTCCGTAACACTTTGCACTTTCAAAATTGACAAATTAAAAGCACTGAAAAAAATATTTTTGGAAAGTGTCAAATTTGCCCTAGAGAAAAATTTATTAACGTCAAATATCGTTCACATTAAAAGGTAAAGGAGAAAAATTTGCAATATCTCAGAATAAATAGACAAAATGAGTTTTGGAATCAATTTTATGGCTTTAAATGGTAAAATTTAACATGTTTTATCAATTTTTATCTTAAAACTGATGCTGGTTGGATTTTGATCAATGTCTTCTTACTCTTTGCAAAAAAACGACATTTATATAACACCAAAATTAGCATTAAAGATATGTTAATATGATATTTTTTTTTTCAAATTTTGTGACTCATCTCTGTTTTTTAGGGGGAGGGGTGTAATTGCTTTGTAGATTTTCTATCTTTAATTCATTCAAAGCCATTTTGATTTTGCAATGAAACCTAACAAGTTGAAAAAAGACCGCTCCAATGAAAATGTTTGCTCTTTATAAGTGATCTTTGTTTACCCAAATGAAAAATGGGGGAAAAAGTACATTTCAGAGGTATATGTATAGGGTAAAAACTCTAATGAGGGTAAAAAAAGAATATTGTCGATAATTATTATGCTTTGTGTCTACACTAAACAGACAAAACTTCTTCGGAAGTTCTCAATTCAATCTTTTTCTTTAACAAGGTTTAAATTATGTTGTAGCAACATCCAAACAAACCAAGTCCTCGTATTGATCACAAGGCAGACAGTTCTGTGCAATGCACAATGGCTGTTTATAGAATAAGACTTTAATTAGGCAAATTCAAATGCATCATGTAGAGACATTAAATCTAAATAATTGCTCCTTTTAGCTGTAGACTTCAAAATCACCAGAACAACCCTATCATTTCAGTGAAATAAGACCGAAAAGGGGAAAAACGTCTTGAAGAAGATGCAGAAACATAAATCTCACATTATATATGCAAATTGGTTCTCTTCGGATTTATTGCGAGACTTGTGTAAATGATTGCTTTTGGTTGACGTATTGCAAGATTTTTTCTGACACACTGTTTACAAAATAACTAGCCTTAAGTTTATTAAAAATTGTACAAATTGAATGAGTATTGTATTAACCCAATTTTCCGTTCGATATATTGCAGATCGTAACAAACAGTGTCATCTTATAAATAAGAATAATCCAAATGTCTGGCTTTCATTAAAGATCGCAGTTACTGAAGGAAGGGGTGTTCAAAGCACCTGCAGATTGTTTTTTTTAAATCACCATCATTGAAAGGGGATGAAAGTTAAATCTTATCATTCATATTGCCTTTTTATAAGTGAAAGAAAGAAACTAAATTACTAGAATAGTAAATTTAATATAAATATAAAAAATATAATTCATGGTGAATGTATTAAAAACTAAAATTTAGAATGTGACGAATTGAATAAAATTTAACACAATATTAACGACACAACACATTGTCAATATACTTTGTGCGTACATTATCTCTGCTTACAAATCTATTGTAGTTTTTATTCTATCTAGTATGATTATTGAGTATCATCATTAATATTATTCATACGATATTTCTAATTCTTTCCGAAATGTGAAATGTCTTGCAAACTTTAAGCGTCTTAAAAAATTTAATTCTACAGCACAAATTCATTTACATAATTTTTTTCTTCAATGGTTATACAATTAATTGTTCTATTAAAATACTCGTACTTGACGCTATATTTCGTATTCTTTAAATTTGATATTTTAAAAAGAGAAAGTTAAAAAGACACTTCAGCAAGACACACATTATTTTCACCTTTACAAATATAAGGGTTGTTTTCGTTTCTCATTACTTGCAATACGCATAATTCATTCAAAAAATGATTTTTTTTAATATACATAAATATATATAAGTAATTGAATCATTTATTTAAAAACAGTTATGCCTAAAAATGACAAAACATAGCACCTGCCAATATATATCGACTAAAGCCATTAATGCTTTATTAATCCGCTCAATACTAGAGGTCAAGTAATCCCTGGTGGAATTTATGAGGATTTAATAACTTCATAATTTGGATACTGCTGACCAGTGAAATAAATATGTACATATTATGACAGGACTGTGAGAAACATTGTCAAGCGCTGACCCCGGGGCTCACACATGTCCCATTCTCTAATTAATGACTGAATTCATGTTTTTGCGGTTGTCAGAAGCATACAGTTAAGACGCATGTACACTCTTTTGAACAAGAATATTATATGATTGTAATGTCAAAGTGAGTTGACCTTCAACATCACGCTTCTTGTATTTTTTACTTATATCTGTGAGCTCCTTGTTGTACCTAAATGGGGTCTGTGGTGTGTTTACTTAAAAAAAAAATAAGTATTTAACCTATAATTGCAATTCATTTTAAAGTTTACAGGCTTCTGTGTACGTATTATACATTTTAAATCTATTGTGACGTTGGATCCAACTTACTTGCAAATGATTGTTTTGGTTGAGAAGGTTTCTTTAAACTATTCGTTCATTCACTGGAACCAGATCGATTGAGGCATTGTTAAAGAATTTGAAGACCACCAGTATGTTTTCTCAACAAGTTAAGGATTTATAAAAGTGAAATTAACAAGAATAAAACTACATAACAGTCAAGTCATGTAGCAGATGCATTAGTACAACTGTCCCAACAGGGATATGAATATTGCCTGCATCTGTAGGATCGCAGCCTGTGAAGTTTGAACCATGTCAGACTATGTTAGATTTCGTCAATTTGACCGACAACAAGGCCTAGGATTTCACATTTTGGTCACACATTACTTATCTATGTAGGTTGTTTAGGTGCTAGATAGGCAATCAAGATGATCTGTAATGTGAAAATATTGTGTTCTATGTGCTCTGGGATATATATTCTATGTTAAATATTTTGACTTATTTTGGAATGGAATTTGAACGGTATGCTAAAGGTAAGTGTATAAACAATGAGAATTTTTAACATTTCATCACAGAGAGTAACAAGATAATCGATTGTCTCCCCTGCTTTTATTATAATTTAGGAGAAAATGGGGTGGGGGGCTTTAACTCTTTGTTTTAAGTTTTTTTTTATGGAACACATACTGGAAAAATTGTGTGATGGGTTTAACAATGTAACAATGATATAGAAGGATTGAGGCGAAGAAAGGTCTTATATAGATTAAGATAAATATTAAGAACAATATTGAGAGTACAGTTTAAACCATGTCAAAATACAATTAATTTTTTTATGACCACTGTGTTTTTTCATGAGTACCGTGGTTTCTACCATTTGCTGTTTGATTCAAATTCCTTCCCCGAAGGTAAAACCCATCTAAATGTCAGGAAACGGATTGTATATCATAAAATCAAATCCTACAAAAGAAACCTGCCAAAATGGTGTTCAGTATCATAATTCTGTGCATTCTTAAAAGCTTTACTAATTTTGCTAACTAATGTCAATAAAAAAGGAACAATTGAAATTCCCATATAGGTACTGATTATTGATTCCCCATTCTCAATGCTATATTTGTTTTTCACTTAAAATACCGTCTAGATCATTGATTACTGGGATTAAGTGTCTTACATAATAAGACGCAAGCTGCATGTATATGCACCGTGTTTGTTTATATAACAATATATATAATAATATTAATATTAAAAGATATCATCATAAAGGAAGTTTGGTGCATCTTGGAATCTTTGAATCGGCTTTACGTCAAGCCATTCTTCAAAATGTCTGAACTTAAAATGAAGAAATTTCTTCGTTTCTAAGAGGTAATAGACGAATTGCTTTTGTAAAGAATAGTAAAAAGAAGAATGAAGAATTAAAATTTAATACTCAATGTTTTATTCATCAAAGTAATATTGCATATACCTACAATGCTTCTACAATATTTTAACAATACAAAGTACATACAACATTATAAATTTAAATGTTTTTATACCAAAATGATTGACTTGAAATCCACTGTTAATTTGTTTTTCTATAGATACATGAGGACCAAAGGCATCAATAAACACTTTTTTTTCTAAATTGACGCCCGTCGTTTAAATCAACTGTGTTTAATGATCAAATTATTATCTATCACATTAAAGAAGCATAATGGTAAAAGATTAATTGTACTCTACTGAAGCTTTAGAATTTCAGTCTTTGTTCTCAAGTAGAGTTCATACATAAGAAATGAATAAAGAGATATCGTGTAATGTGGAAGTGGATAGCATAGCATACAATGATCAGTTTCTCCCATATACATACATATACAGTCGGAATAAATACTTTAAATAGAAATATCTTCTTTTTTCAAATAAATAGTTTGGTCAAATAAGGTTATAGTTAATTTAATTCAAAAATGTACATGCAGATGTTATGCTGAAGGTTTCAGTTAATCTTGTTGTTTTCTTCCATAATTTTTTCTTAAACAGTAGGTCAGATTTTAAGCTTGGATTAAGAGCGTTACCTCTTTACATTGTGTACAGTGTAATTACCATTGATTCATAAAGTGTTGGTCAAGGTCAGAAATAGTTATATAAAAAAGACCCTCCAACGAATATAAGTATTAACATTTTATCAAAATTCCTTATTACTTTGAATACTTAGAAAGCAATTGTATACATTTAAAAAAATGAGGGAGGGGTCCTTACATTTGTATTAAACTACAGTACATCTATCAAACATCTGCTCTCATTTAAGAGAAACTTTTGTAAATTGAGTTTCGAAAAGAATGCACCATTTAAGAATTAGTGAAGATTTAATGGCATCGTTTGAAAACTAACCTGAATCTACACTACCTCAGGATGCTTCCATATTTATATGACCAATCATGGCTTTGCTGTTCTTGAGAAAAAGATTTTTAAAGACTTTCCCTATCTATTCCTAAGTAAGATTTTGATCCCCTGTTGTGGCCTCTTGTCTGAATATGCAACTCTATGCAACATTTTACAAAAGATATTGTTTACAAATCAGTTTAAGAGAAAAAGACAATTGTATACAACTACAAGTGTGAATATTTAATCATTTATTAGAATTTATTAATTTTTCAACAAAAAATAATTTTAAAAATATCGGACCAATATGTCAGTTGTTTTAAGAGACAACGGCGTTATTAAAATGCAAGCCCAATATTTATTTTTATTTGTCTATAACATATTCATTGCACCAACAGATATATTCTTATTTTTTCCCTTATTCATTGGTAATGCATGACCATCTTCGGAAGAAATACTTTTCAATTTGATTTTTATTTCATGCCTCGAAACTTGATTTTCTATTTTCGTGACATAAAAAATTACCAAAAATTACCAAAAATGCATTATTAAACCAGTTAACGTGTTTATTTCAAATTTCTCAAAATCAGTAGACTTTTCTCACATGAAAATGGTTCAGCCTCCAATAGGAATCTCTATTTCATGCCTCAAAACTCATGTTAATTTTTTGGTGAAAGAGGATAGAAAATGCAGACCGAAACATGTTCAAAATCTATGACAGGACGGACTGAAGAAAAAAAGGGAATATTAATTAACAAAGTTTCACAATATACTAGTGAGACTATTCCAAGTAGTTTTAAAACAAGATTGAAGACCGTTAAAGTCTTCACTCTCAGCCATTAAGAATCCTCTATAGACTCGATGAAAGATAATAGTATTCCTACTATCCAGAAGTAAGATATTACTCTGGTGTAGAGTAATTATCATAAGAATTATCTTGGCAATTCTGTTTGACTGTCATAAATGAGGGACTTGAAAGTAATAAAATGTTAACAGACTCAACTTAATAGTGACAAAATGTTAATTATGTTGATTTTTGATGGTAATTAATACACTTACTTGGTACTGTTATAACTATGTATGCCTGTCACAATAGATGACAACATCCCACACTTTCTACTATCTTCGCATATAAATTATCTTCTACTAGCCTGTATGTACCGATTTGGGTTCACTATATAATTATATTAACATCAACCAAATCATACATACAGCATTCTGAAAGACAAAAATGGTCTTCATTAAAATATAGACCCACGTTATCAACTGGTTTAAACAGGTGTGCAATTTCACTAAAGAAGGAAAAGTGAGCTATTGGTTCAAATGAACTGAAGTATTGGTCTTATTCGGAGAATTAAATTTACTTGAAATCAATCAAAATTAATCTTGCTTTCCATCAATTTTTATTTTATAATAAATATATTAAAAGAATATTTTTTTTTCAGGCTATTCTATATCTTTGGCCATTTCCTTTTCAGTACTTTACCTGACAGTAGTGCTAATTACATGTGACGTAATCGGAAAACGCAGGGGTCAGAATCCTCCAAACCCTGATGCCCCACGGTTGCTGGCCTTTTCCGTGGACCCACCGGTCAACCACACTCCTAAACTAGTCGTCGTCCCCGTGGATACTAAAACTGACTTACGGCTAGGATGTAGGAAGAAAAATATAAATGAACCCATTCAGGTATTTATGACGTAGTGATAATTGTGAATCATAAGCTTTAAGTTTTACATAGAGTTTTTTTATACCAAAAATGCCTATTAGAAACTGGTATATTATCCCAACCATGAGATATCAAATGTCTTTTTACTAACACGATTTGAATTTGACACAATTAAGGTATTCTGGGAAAAAATTGGCCCAAGGGGAGTAGAACAGATCACCAGCATGATCACCCCTTATCCCGAGGATAGTGAAAAATATGAAGTTTCCACGGGCTCCTCAATTAGTGATGACGTCACTGACCTGTTTTACCTCACAGTTAATAACATTGATTATCATGATATGGGGAAGTATGTTTGTCAGACTTACTACAAGTACAGAAGAATAGGTGGGGAAGTCGTGGTTTATGTTAGAGGTAAATAATGTTTATATTAATGTACATAAGATAACAGTAGAATATGAATGAATATTATTTGTATGTATCCTTGAACATCATCTGATTCAAAATCCCAGTTTTCATTATAATGAACATTTCAAACAGTATTGGTTTTAAGAATAGGAATTCACATGTGTTGCCTTAAACAAATTTGTATATACTGAGGTAAATGTTTCTGGAATCTTAATAAACTGCTTTTTCCATCCTACCTTTCCTCTTCTAAGGTCCCCCAAAAGTAGGTCTTTTTGAGTCCATGATCTCTGGAATGCTGAATTGGGACCTTAAATTAGTGTGCCCTTTCCACTCCAAGGACGACATTGATGTCAGCAATACTCTTTGGTATAAAGGAGACCAACCACTCCATAATGGCACAAACGACAGGTAAAAAAACTGTCGACTACATATATAAAAGATGTAGGTGCATAATTGATGTACGGAAATTACACATTAACCGAAAATATTTTGTATTTATGATTGATGTTCTTGCCTTAAAAAAGGTTCTTGAAGTTGGGGCTAAAAAATTATTGGGGAAAAACATCCAGCTAGTAAATAGGGTATCATATAAATGTGTCTTTTATAAAAATTATATGACCATTATTTTCCACTGAATTGTCAACTCATTTTTCCGTTTACCCGATCACGACAAGGAGCACACGGCGGGTGTGACCGGTCGAAAGGGATGTTTACTCCTCTATGGCACCTGATCCCACCTATGTTTTCAGAGGTCGTGTTGGCACTGTTCAAAATTTAAATTGTTTAAATAGACTTTAGAGCATGATGCCTGTTTGTTATCTTCACATTTCATTGTTTAAATGTTAGTATATGTAGTATATGAAATATATATATATATATATATATATATATATATATATATATATATATATATATATATATATATATATATATATATATATATATATATATATATATATATATATATTACCATAATTTATTCAGAATTGTCAAATTGTCATAGATACACGTAGAAACACTTTGCTGTAGATATTAGAGAAAAATAACGATGATATAACGAAAAAGTCTACAAATTTTAACAAATAATCTTACCTTTTAGATATAAAACCTATTTGAAGCGATATGACGAGATAGGTGGAGAATTTTGTCTTTACATCTCAAAGCTTCAGGATGATGACGTAGGCAATTACACCTGTGTCGTCACCAATGCGCATGGTTCAGATACAGGAAACATAGAAGTAAAAGGTAAAACTAATGAAATTGTACGGATTTTTTCTTCTTCATTCATTCTGCAACTCTGTGAAAACAGGTGAAATTATAACACTAGACGAAAAATGTACATAACTGTACAAAGTTAGGTACAGTATTTTATTTTTAATCCACGTCTGAAAAAGTAAGCATTGTTAAATGAATTCATTACGTTTTATAATATATTGAACACAATACTTACAGCTGGAAGAAACAAAACTATGGCTGAGATAACCACGGACAAGAAGATCTCCTTTATCTACCCCTCCCAATCTCAAATCAACGTGGAGGGTATCCAACCCCTCAAACTATGCTGCAAGGCCGAGGGATTTGATAAACTACCCATGGTAATTTTCCTTCCTAAATAATAAACTCTTACTTTAATTCCTAAGCCTATATTGGAGTAGGGGTTTATATACCTAAATCTAAATGGGAAGACATTCATCTTTTTTCTATATTCATAGTTTGCTGATGGATCAAGGGTAAACTTAGATACTGAAAAAAGATTAACACAGTTTGGTGTTTTATTTTAACAGTTTCGAGCAGAAATTGCGCTGCTTAGAACTTTTAGAATATTGAAATAGGGTCCATATGATTTTTTTTAGTAGCCTTTATATGCAGTTAAATGAATTAAGCTTTTCTACTCACTCTGTAATACAAATGTTTTTTTGGTGTGACACTTATTTTTTTTCCCTTTGTTTGCATGTGTTTTACAAAAACTGCCAAGTATTCCATCTAAATACATTTTAAATAGTAAAGTTGAATAGACAGCTTCGTGATAACTGCGGTACCTTTCTTTTCAGGACGAAATGATGAAGTTTGGTGAAATATAATGTAACAACTATTGTTTTATAAACTTCATTTTATTATCTATTATAAAAATAACCTTCGCTAAACTTGCCCTTCGAGAAAGCAGAGCTGCAGTTATCGTGAAAGGGCTAATTCGGGAAACTATGCAAGATCTTAGAAACATATATTTTTGCATAGCTATCGAAAATTATTGATCAGTATACTTTATGAGTATTCTTGCAATGCATTGGTATGATAGAAATATTTGTAAATAACGGATGATGTGTTATATCATAGAAAACCTTGTGTCATTAAGTTGTAGAAATCCTTAAATCTTAAAGGTGATAGAGTTGATATTGTTATCTTACAAAAGAAAGAGATGATATTGTAGAAATCCTTGTTTCTTACAGAAGATAGAGTTGATATTGTATTACAGATGATGGAGATGATATTGTAGAAATCCTTGTGTCTTACAGATAATATAGTTGTTTTTATAGAAATTCTTGTCATGTATCTGATAATGTGGTTGATATTATAGAAGTACTTGTATCTTATAGATGATGTGGCTGATCCGTAGTATCACGGGCAATGAAGTTCACCTGAGAGCAGAGGACGAGTACATGGTTGGAGATGTCCGTCTAAGATCCTACTATATATTTAACGCGACAGGGATCTTCTTTAACCTTATGGCAGACAGCCTCACCATCAATTTTACAGGAACATACATGTGTGGCATCGACCTGAATGATAAAATTTACCATGATCATATTAATATCACTGTACAAGGTTAGAGACTAGTACAAAATTTGTAATAGATGCAATATCAACAGATGTAATTCTTAACGTACTCATGATAATAATACTGCAAAGCCTTGTTATCATATTCGTTATTTATATACTCGTAACAATATAGATCTGCTAAATACAAAGATAAAACAGACGTAAAATACCCAATTAATGTCATTCAGGTAAAATGATATATTAAAAAAAACAAGATCTAATAAAGGTTGATTCCTTAAAGAGAATAAGACAATGTGACCAAAATCCTGTACTATAGTTTTTGTCAACCTTATGCATTTTTAGATATTTTTAAACAAGAAGCCCATGGGCCACAATGCTTACCTGAGAAACTATGACCCTATTGTTTTTAAGCATTTTTTTCTTGTAAATTCCTATATAAAACCCTACCCCCGGAAGTCATGATTTGAACAAACTTGAATCTACATTAACTGAGGATGCTTCCAAATAAATATGACTTAAATCGTGGGTTCGCTGCTCTTTGGAAAAAGGTTTTAAAGTTTCTTTTCTATAAATCCCTATGTTAGACTTTCATCACATATTATGGAACCCCGGGCCTTGGGGTCTTGATTTATAATAACTTGAATCTACATTACCTGAGGATGCTTTCATCTTAATATGACTAATAATATATGCCACTAGTGTTCTTTAAAAGAAGATTTTTAAAGATTTTTCATATGTATATATTCCTATGTAGAACTTTGATAGCCCTTTGTGGGCCCATCCCACCCCAAGGGATTTTGATTAGATAAAAATGAATCTATACTCCCTGAGGATGTTTTTCATATAAATATGATTAATCATGCATTGTTTTTCCTGGGAAGATTTTTGAAGATTATTTTATTCCTTTGTAAAAATTTGATTGCCCATTGTGGCCTCAATTAACCTACCCTCAAGTGGAGGGGGAGGGGTGATCAAACTCTTAAATATCTCCCCTTGAAAGAGGGCATGGTCCTTCATTTGATCATTTGAACAAACTTGAATTCCCTTTACCCAAGGGTGCTTTGTGGCAAGTTTGGTTGAAATTGGCCTAATGGTTCCAGAAAAGAAAATGAAATTGTGAAAAGTTTACGAGACGATGACAACAATGACAACAACGGACAAATTTTCATCAGAAAATCTCACTTAAGCCTTTGACTTAGGTGGTCTAAAAATGGCTGGTTTTTCCCCTGATTTTCCTTTGTTATTCACAATATTTCATATTTTGTAATAAAGGTCGTCCTTCTGTGACCGCGGAGACCACAATGATGAATGGCACTGTGGAAGAAAACAAAAACTTGACCTGTCACGTGTGGAGCAGCCCGATCCCAACATTACTCACGTGGTACTTTGATGACGCGATACTGCCGTCATCTTCAAGGTATTCTACAATGATTACAACTTAACTGTCAAATTACATGACATTTACATTTCTAATATTTATAAGTTTCTTGCTCATTTTGAAAATGTATAGAATCATTTCATAGGTAAAGAAAGCATAATTTATGTTTCATGAGAAAGTACACTTAAATTTTGGTAAAATTCTATAATAAATTTAAAAAAATACTACACCTTGAACAAGAGGCCCAGGGGCCACATCGCTCACCTGAGCACTCTGGCTAGGAAAAAGCAGAAATCAGTTCAGTCTTGAAAAGTTTTGATATAAAAGTGGTTCGGGGGGGGGGGGGGGGTTAATTTGAACTTCAATCTATACTTCAAAGGGATGCTTTTGAATTAATATGACAACTAATGCTGTTCTTAGGAAGACAATTCTTATTGATATATCATTTGTATTCCTTTGTATAACTATGATCTCCTGTTATGGCCCCTCTATTCTCCTGGGGGGTTATGATTTGAACAAAATTTGAATCTACATTACCTGAGGGTGCTTGCATTTAAATATGACCAATCATGGCTTTGCTGTTCTTCATCAGAAGATTTTAAAAGGCTTGCTTTTTCCTATGTATTCCTATGTAAAACTTTGATCGCCTACTGTGGCGCAACCCTACCCCCTGGGGGTCATGATTTAAAAACAAACTTGATTATACACTACCTGAAGATGCACCCATTAAAAAAAACACATGGCTTTGCTGTTCTTGAGAAAAAGATTTTTACAAATTTTTCTTATGTATTTTACGTAAAACATTGATCACCCATTGTGGCCCCACCTTACCCCCAGGGTCATGATTGGAACAAACTTGAACCTGCACTACTTGAGGATGCTTCCATGTAAATATGACCAATCATGGCTTTGTTGTTCTTGTGAAGAAGATTTTTACAGATTTTTCCTATGTATTCTTATTTAAAACTTGGATCGCCCATTGTGGCTCCACCCTACCCTGGGGGTCATGATTGGAACAAACTTGAATCTACACTACCTGAGGATGCTTCCATATAAATTTAACCATTCATGGCTTTGCTGTTCTTGAGAAGAAGAATTTTAAAGAGTTTTCCTATATATTCCTATGTAAAACTTTGATCGCCCATTGTGGCCCCACCCTACCCCTGGGGGTCATGATTTGAACAAACTTGAATCTACACTATCTGGGGATGCTTCCATATAAATATGACCAATCATGGCTTTGCTGTTCTTGAGAAGAAGATTTTTAAAGAATTTTCCTATATATTCCTATGTAAAACTTTGATCGCTCATTGTGGCCCCACCCTACCCCCGGGGGTCATGATTTGAACAAACTTGAATCTACACTACCTGAGGATGCTTCCATATAAGTTTCATATTTTCAAGCACAGTGGTTCTTGAGAAGAAGATTTTTTTTTAAATGATGGCATTAATTTTTCATGAATTCATGAATATCTCCCCTTGGAAGAAGGCGTGGCCCTTCATTTGAGCAAACTTGAATCCCCTTCACCCACTGATACTCTGTGCCAAGTTTGGTTGAAATTGGCCCAGTAGTTCTGGAGAAGAAGATGAAATTGTGAAAAGTTTACAACGACAACAATGCCAACGACGACAGACAACAGACAAATTTTGATCAGAAACGCTCACTTGAGCCTTCGGCTCAGGTGAGCTAAAAATGCCTTTTAATATGTTAGTTTCGTGTTTTGTTTGTGTTGATTATAGCTTCAGTTTCACCTGTATGATCTTCGCTTCATTGTAGACTACACAAGTTTGTGGTTTATCACAATGAATATCAACTGGACATGGTATTAAACATTAAATCTGTAGAAGTGTCTGACTTTGGGGTATACACCTGCAAAGTGTATAATTCTTATGGTCAAGGAATCGCTGTACAAATGATTCAAGGCAAGAATTTTCAAAATTATATGATATATTTAATCGTAATTCTTAACTTTGCACTACTAAGTATTAATTTAGTATTTGAAAAACATTTACTTAACTGAGTATATACATGTAGCTGTATTTTGTTTTCCCACCACTAAAAAAAATATTGATTAAAAAACATTTGTGAAAATATCTTAAATATTAAATAAATATGAAACAGAATAAGTCATGGTGAATAATAGATGGTCTGAAAATGACTTTGTCTTCAATGTTGACAATCCAAATATGTATTATACTGTATTATGTAGTGTATTGCATTGTGTATTATGTAGTTTATTATTCAGTGTATTGTGTAGTATATCATGTAGTTGTTTTGTGTTGTGTAAGGTGTAGTATATTATGCAGTGTACTAAGTTGGGTATTGTGCATTATGTAGTGTATTATGTAGTGTATTGTGTAGTATATTATACAGTATATCATGTAGTGTATTGTGTAGTGTTTCGTAAATAATCTTGTCCCTGTCAAAATTGGTTAAGTGTACACAACAATATAACTAACAATATTGCTAAAAGGCTTTAAACCGTCAAATAAAAGAATGAAAACGTAACCTGATTTCTTGGTGTATTGTAGATATTGATGAGTGTAGTTATGATCCTCAAATATGTGGATCAGCTAACTGTATCAACACTATGGGAGGCTACAGCTGTGATTGTGGGTCCGGCTACTTGTTCCAGAACGGCACCTGCATTGGTAGTATTACTGCTAAAACGAGGCTATACAATGTCTATATCAGATGTAAATAATAGATCTTCATAGAGTGATGGCTTGCAACATATGTGAGTATATGTATTCCTTTCTGTAGATATTGATGAGTGTAACTTGCCAAACAAGAAACCATGTGCCGACATATGCCTGAACACCGCCGGTGCCTACACTTGTACCTGTAGAGACGGTTACGTCATAGACACATCAAACAGCTACGCATGCCTGGGTCAGTTTCAATTTAGTTATCTTACATTCGATTTTCGAACAAATTGCTTCACTTTTTATAGTTATGTCCGGTGTTTCTCATTTGGCATTTGATGCTGACGTCACGAATCAAGAATACTCGCTCTGTTCTATTTTACTATAAATATAAAGTTTTCCTGAATATTTCTTTTACAGCTGTATCCGGGTTATCAGGATCAGGCAATGATGATGAGACAGAAGACTCGGACCTGTACATTATAATCGGGGCTGCCTCGGCTGTCCTGCTCGTTCTCATATTGTCCATATTGACACTAGCGTGGTTCAGGAGGAGAAAGTTTGAATCTTCTGTAAGATCATCTACATTTGTCTCTTCATTTACACAGTTAAGCAGTATATAATTCTTCTATTATTATATTACTTCATTCAACGGTATTTAAACACTAAGAATGAGGGTAATATGATTTGTTGGACCTGTAAACGAAATTCTGCCCAAAGCCAAAGGCATGGGGCTAGATTTTTATATTTGGCTTAAGGCCCAACAAATCATATCTTGCCCAGCCTCATTCAAATACCGTTTTCTTTAACTCTTCACTTGTCCATGCATTGGTAAATTTGAAAGCATCTTTAAATGCATTTAGTTAAGGTATTTAGGTAACGCCGGAAATTATTTGCCATAAGAAGGCCAAGGTTTTTGATGTTTGACTATAAAAGCCAGTCCAAATGATATCAAAAATGTAGGCGCATTTGCTTTATATAAAATTTATAGGGATATAACAAATATACGGTGCACAGGTATCACAATACTAATTAATAATACTTATCTTCATATTATATATAGTATTAATACTAATTAATTAAATTTATATCAATATTTTTATAATTTTAAATCCCTTTCTTTTATTTTCTCAAATAGGACAATGCTTCTACGAAACAAATATTCCAGGACAATGTGGCCTACCAATCGAGTGGAGAAAGCACAGTGAAGCTGGTATGTTGTTCTTTAATTGTTCCCTTACATACACAGAAATAAATTTCATTCTTGGGTGTAATCCTTTTTCATGAAGCAAGGACAATAATTATACCAGCGCTATTACTAATTATCTTAACGAGAATAACCTTAGATACTTAGTATTTGTTGAGTTAGTAATCAATTAAAACTGTCGTGATTTTGTTTAGAACTCTTACTTTGAGGATCTGAAGAAATGCGTCCTTCCTAGTGACGAGTTTCCCAGGCAACGTCTGCAGCTTGGCATTGATTTAGGTCAAGGTCGTTTTGGGAAGGTCATGATGGCTCGTGCTTTAAATATCAATGGAAATTCAGACTGGGAAATGGTTGCAGTAAAAACTATACGCGGTATGCTAAGGAATATATGAATGATAGAACAATGCAATAAAATTGCTAATCAAAGAAATACGAACAATGAAAGAAAACAAAAGTCTTGTATTTCTTGTTTTTGTAAACAGATTGTGCAATTGATGCAGAAAAGGAAGATTTGTATCAGGAATTAGAAATTATGAGAAAGATTCCACATCATCCTAACGTTGTTGATTACCTTGGCTGCTGTACCCAGCAAGGTAGGTCTCTACTATCTTTGTAAGGCTAGAATATTCTGAATACAATGAAAGCCTAGGGTATTCTGAATATGACAAAAGTATTCATATCCTGAGCGTTGTGAAAGTCTACATATACTTAACGTCTGGGGTATCCTGAATATAATAGTAAAAGTATAGAGTATTCTGAATGTGCTGAAAATTTATTATTTATGAAATAGTATTTTCCATACACCTAAAGTAGCTGCTAAAACTTCAAATGTATTCACTGATTTTTTTTTTTTTGATTAATAACTCAGAAAATATTTTCCTTTTGAATTGCAGATCCCATGTATATCATTATGGAGTATGTTCCTGGAGGTAACATGCAGCAGTACCTGAGAAAGTTCCGTCCCTCCCAGCAGGCCACTAACAGTGAGGAACTCGTACCCCCCACAGCCAAAGATCTCAACAGCTATGCCCTCCAAATCTCCAAGGGGATGGAGCACCTGTCTTCACTAAATGTACAAAAAAATTTAACCCACAATTTAAGCACTTTAATTTAATCCAATTTAAATATTCAGACATTTTAAAACATTATACAGATTTTGAAAATGCTAAAACTATTTAATAAACTTAATTTTAAAAAAAACGATTCTCTCTCTATTAAAGTCAAAGATGTGTGGGATTAGCAATCTTCCTACGATTTACTTACATTCATTAATGAAATTTACTTGTCCCTGAACAGATAATACACCGTGACCTCGCTGCCCGTAATATTCTAATAGACCGTAAAGGGGTGTGCAAGATATGTGACTTTGGTTTGGCCAGGAATGTGGAGGGAGAGGAGGTTTATGAGAGATCATCCAAGGTAACATATGAAAATCATCTCTTTAGGAGGCAAAACATTAACAACTGGACCTCAATTGGAGCAAATTTATTTAACTGTCCAGCTGATTTTGAAATTTTATGTAATTTCGGTATTTGTGCAAATTCTTTTTAAGCTTGTATTCTCCATAGCTAAGGAAGCCTTTTAGTACTTATAGAACTATAAGTCATTTGATACAGATACGAAGTACTTCAAATGAAAATCAAATAAAAATGAAATAAAACAAACCTGTGTATCGTTTAGGGTCCTCAGCCTATCCGCTGGATGGCGCCAGAGTCACTGTCTGATCAGTGCTTTACCAGAAAAAGTGATGTTTGGTCATACGGGGTTCTTCTTTGGGAGATAGTCACACTCGGTAAGGCGTCGATGGTCTCTATCACGTGTATGTTCCTAATGTCCTCAAATAGTTACCTACTGAGGGTACAGATTACTGAATTATGGCATTAAAAGCAAAACTTCTAATTCAAAGAAGAAAGTTGTAAAATCTGCAAGACTAACTGAACTAATTGGAAAAGCATAAGAGAATTTTCCTCATTTAGTTAACACTAAATATAGAAAATCGTCTATTTTACTTGAATTGAGGCTTACTAAACATGACTCCTACGTCACAGGTGCCACTCCTTATCCTGGTATGGCGGCAAGAGAAGTCATCTCCACGGTGATGATGGGAAAATGGCTCTCTCGTCCTCTACATTGTAAACCAGAATTGTAAGTGAAAAAATCATCATATTAGCTTGAGTCTATTGACGTTAAAGTCCTCAATATATTAACAGGATCTTTTTATATTGACGTACATGTAGTTAAGGGTGATTATGCCATTGTTCTAATAAGTTTTTTTGTCCTTGTCGTTTTAGTTACTTGTCTCAGAATTGAGTTTTAAAATTAAAAAACGACTGTAAAATACATGTGTTTTTGCAGGTACGCACTGATGGTGCGATGCTGGGACATGATGCCACAGAATCGTCCGTCCTTCAGTGAAATCAGCAAGAGTGTGGAAACGCTTCTAGAAAAAGAAGCAGACTATATTGAATTCAAAGCCTACGAGGAAGCCATATTCAGTGTCCTTGACCCTAACCTTGTTGATGAACGTGTGTAGGTCGTGTGTAGCAAAGATTGGAATATATACACAAATATTTCCCTCCTATTAAGTGATAGATAAAGTAATTTGAACATTTGTATGGATATATACACAGATACATGAAGGATAAGGCATTGTGAAATGTGCGTGGAAGAATGGTACTAAAATATTACCTCTGAAAAAAGTATCCAAATGTGCACGCACAGCAACATTCGGAATGAGTAAAATAGACCAAAAAGTGATGTCCATGGCACAGATTCATGGAAATAGGACTTCTGGATCGAGCGTGCGTTTGTTCTGAAGATATTCTCTGTGTGTTGTTCTTTGAGTTGGAGGGATGGAACACAGTGTATGACTGATCCGTTAATCAGGAAATTTTCACTGTGTCCATATTATGATAACCTCAAAGGACCACCTCTACTATGAAGTATACAAACCATACCTAACAGGGTCAAAGCAGCGAATGTGATCTGGTGTTTTTGTGCATGTTTTGTCATGACAATTTATGTTGTTCATGTTAGTCAAAGTACTAGTATACTTGGCAATGTTTGATTTATTAGGGTGAAACGTGACTCGTGTTGTAAGAATGTTTTTGTTTATGTTATACCAATGAGAGTGTGACTACATTGAAAGTGTTGCTGTGATATTTCGGCAACAAAAATAGTACTGTGATAACTATAAGCTTTTATGCATAATCTTTCATCGCATTACCGACATAAGTACGAAGATAGAAAGAAAACAGGAGAGATAGTTCTGGAAAAGTTGTGTATCATTAAACAAACGTATTTATCATGTTCATCTCAGATGGATTCCATCTTTAAATAAAAGTTTTAAACTTGATACTGCCTTGGAAAAGTTTTCATTTCAAACTCTCTGGATTGGTCTAAGGAAATGCATTGGAAGTCTGCATAGACCCGTTATTTAGTCTACAAAAATGATGTATAGTGGTGTACTGTTACTCATCATTACATGTCACCCTGCATATATATATATATATATATATATATATATATATATATATATATATATATATATATATATATATATATATTCTCCGTCACATCAAGATCAGATCTGAAGAAAGAGTACTGCTGATCTATCTGGAACCGAGCGCAAATCGTATACCACTGGTCTGTGAATGATCACCTAGTTCCTACAAGGTTAGGGTGTTAGAGTATCTGCTGATCCCATTTGTTGGATGGCGTTTGATATAGTCACGACCTGTAACGAATAGTTGAAAGACTTTACTAAATACGAGTAAACATGTCATGTTCCAAACCAATTTGACGACAACAATTTATACAGGATGTTCTACTGATGTCTGGTAGATGTGTTGATGCTGAAGATAGAGTAAATGCAACAACAACAGCTAAAGCATCTTCAATCCCACGACCGGTCCTTCGAATGAAACCGTATAAACCGAGGTCCCGTGTCGCAGTATCTGATAGCACGAGAAAGATAACTCACTGCTCTCAATGAACCTAAGTGCCGAGTATAGGTCTAAATTTGCAGCCCTACACCGGCAAGTGGTGGCTTCTCCATATGAGTGAAAAATTCTCGAAAGAGAGGTGAAAACAACAAACAAATCAATCCCACAATCTTGATATTGTCAAATTAGGTGTAACTGTCTTAAGACGGACAAGATAAAGAGTCAATCTAATTAAAATTAGATTTTCCGAAGAGTCGATTTTTGAGGATTGCATTGTAGATTCTGACCACATTCATCAGGCAAAAAAGATGGTAACCATAGAAATTTCAGTTATCTTAACCTAGATCCTTTTAAAACAAAAAATAAATGTCAATTGCAAGCATTTTGGAGTCATTAATCTTCCACTTTAACTGAGGTTTTGAAATAAACAAATTACACCAATTTAACACCATTAGACCTTCAAATGAGATGATAATTTAAGTCAGCACAAGATTACAACCATCAGCAATGCATCATACGATCGTATAGTGATTCCCCAAGGGCCACAAAGTTTTCCTGATTCAGGAATAAGTCCATGAAAACCTTTTTGTTGCCCTAAACGTAACTCTCATATGTTTTCAACGACTTAAACCTCCAGTGAGGTAATAGATATGAGATGGTTTAAAAGTAAAATCTTACTGTTGTTGAGAAACAGTATATAAACACTTTCCTTTGAAGACCCCCCCCCCTCCTTTTTTTCTGGTTTCACCCTAACCTCGAGTCTACCTTGAAGGAAACTAGAACCGAACATTAGGTAGAGGTTTATAGAAATTGTGCTAGATATTTTTTCTTTGCTCTGACCTTGGATTTTCGGCTACAGAAAATGCTTATTTATTTTCGAGAAAAAGACCCCAATTTAAGCAAAACGGACATTTTTTTTATAATTATTAAGTCAATAACACCTACGGGTCAAGTGGTCCCCTTCTGCCTGGATGACTTTACCAGGAACTGTCCAATAAGTTAAGCCAAAGAAAACTAGTTTTTGAATTTACCACTGTAATTTCTCAAGAATAGAAATCATTGAATCACTGTTTTGTATCGATAAAGTTGAACATTAACTTTGTTTAGTCTTAAAATTATTCATCCGCATTGCACCATTTTTTTTATATATATACTGCGCATGCGTAAAAATTAGTTCTATTGTATTCATTTTACAACGCAACACCACACATTTTAAAATGACTTTAGGCCATTCCAAGTTTTTTCTCTGTTTAGCGTCCACCCGTTTTTCAAAAACCTACCTACCTAATTGCAAAAAACACACAAGACTAAAAATAAAACACAGACTTAATAGTCATAAAAATGAGGGATTTGCTTTCCTTAATTTATTTTCTTGTAGGAAGATCTATTTTTCAGCAAAACCAATGTATTAAATGCTTAAAATATACCAAATATGACATATTGTACACAAATATTTAGAGAATTTGACAGAATTCAAAGATTTCAACAAGAAAAATCAATTTCAGGACTCCTGATTTTGTTTGTTTTTTTCTGATATGGAGTGTCAAAAACCAAAGCGCACGCGGACACTAAACATAGAAAAAACTTGGAATGGCCTTATCAAAATCAGTATTCTTGACAACGTCATGTTAATGAAGAACACCAAAATGCAAGCTAAACACTTGAAGTTTGCTACTGTGAAATTCGGAGATATTTTTATATTAGGAGTTTGCAAGAAACAATTTCTCAATTGTGCAAAGCAATGGGATTTGAAGGATTTTACTCCGACCACTCAAGCTTTGGGGGAGGGGGGGGGTTTCTAGTGTGAAACTGGGAGATAATTTCTGATTTTTTAATACCCGCCCTTTTTAAAGAAAGTTCAGGTATATTGTTGTTACCCTGATTCGTCCGTCTGTCACACTTTCTTTTTCCTCAAACTCCTCTTTTATTTTAAGAGTTACCAACTGATCTTTTGGAATATGATAGGTTGTGTCCTGTAGATGTGAAATAAAAGTTTGGAATTATCCATTTTACCATGGGGGCCAAATGGGGGACAAAAAATGAGTTTCTTACACAAAAACCTGGTTCCGAGAACTCCTTTTACATTTTACGCAGTAACCTAATCATCCTTTGGAAGATGATTGGTGGTATACTGTAGATGTGCAATAAGGTTTGGGGTTTTTCATTTTCAACCTGGGGGCTACATAGGGGTCGATGGGGGTCGAAAACGACGTTTTTCATCTGACATAAACCTGGTTCCCAAAATCTTCATACGTTTTACACTGTAGCCATATCACTTTTTACAAGATGATCTGAGGTGCCCTGCAGATGTGCACTAAGGTTTCAGAATTTTGATTTTCACCCTTGTGGCAAAATAGGGGTCAAAAAATGACATTTTTCAAGTTATTTCGGCGGACTTTTTCCTTATTTCTTTAAAGACAAACATTTTTTCTGAAACTTTCTCTTTTAAATTCAGAATTGACTTCATTACAACCTTCAGTTTTAGACTGGAATTCATTATTTGAAATACTAACATAAGAGACCCATGAGCATATGCTCACCTGTGCATTTTATTCTCAATTTGATATATATATATATATATATATATATATATATATATATATATATATATATATATATATATATATATATATATATATATATATATATACATATTTTATGTAAATTAGTACGGAATAACTTTGCTACCAAGGTACAAGGAAGCTAGCGTACACGTACATTTAGTGGCAAACACCTACCTACGGGTATTACTGCTTTATGACAGCATCTAGTTTTAAGGATACATAACAAAACAAAAAAATTGATGCATTGATATATATGTATATATTGACTGATTTTGATTAGAAATGACATGAATAATAAATCCTTAAAATATAAGGAAATCGTAAGTTTTCTTTGATACTTAGATATGTGACTTTGTGTCATTTTCCATGTAATTCTATTCAAAATTTTGCACACATTTTTAACATTGTGACAAAATTGTACAAAACTTCCCACTTTACCCGGCAAACATTATTCGGATATCCTATTTAGATATAAATCTATGAGAAATATTGCTGATTTGTGTAAAAAGTTAATTTGTGTTATTTATCTTTAATTTGCAACTAACAGATTCTCGATCGTGTGCAGGTTTTGAAGGATTTTTCTCCAGCCACATCTTGAAGCAACGACAGACACTCGCTCAAACAACGCGGGACTGGAAGGGCAAATAGCCACCTACTAGTATCACCTAACAAAAATACAAGTTTACATCACAGAATCAGTTAAATTTGTTGAGTGGAATAGTTAAAGGAAGCGAAATGGATGTTCAACTAAGCAGAAAAGCCCAAAGATGTGTTTAGGAAACACATGCATCTGATTCTTCTTTAGTGTCCCCAAGATTCACTGAATGTTCCATGTAACAAACTATGTGAAATGAAGAGTAATGAACGGTGAATTTATGGATTTAAGATCGGTGCCCCGTATTCCTCTACAACATTTCCTGTAGCAAGACATTCAGTTCATCGTGGATTATCTGTGCTAATTCAAATACAATAGGACTATTTTTTTAAAATTTGCGCTGCTTATTTTCTACATTGTTCATAATAAATTACTTGATTAATTAATCAAAACCTTTTCAATGCTGTTTATCTGAGTGTAGGACAAAAAAAATTAACTTGACCAGGTTTAACAAAGATGACGTCACAAAAACTCTCAAATCGAAATAAAAGACACTACCACATCTGTTTCATATTTGGGTGTTTTACTGATTAAAAACAAGATAGCCAAACTAATAACTAAAATGTGCAAGATGACTTCAGCTTATTCATAGTAACTTCCTTATTTATGTAGTAATATTCGAACTTCACCTGTATTTGGTGTTTATGTCTTACAACCGATTTGATATTCAGGAGCTTGCTCTGAATATGATCAATTATAAAACCGAGGCAAGCTATTCACAAAGAAGTTGAAGTTCAAAGGATTTCAAAACCCCCTTTAATATTAGATTTTCGCAAATTCTACCGTCGTTATAACGACCTTGTTTATACATACAACCTTTCGTTGGGTCGAATTTTGTCGGACGTGTTTCATACCATTTTTAGGTCATTTCTTTTATGATAAATATGATTAGGGATTACTCCGTCTACCTGATCAATACATAGAGCTCACGGCAAGTGTGACCAGTCGACAGGGATGCTTACTCCTCCTACGCACCTGATCCCACCTCTGATGTTTTTTCTCTGTTAACGATTTGTTTGCTTACTGGATTTATGAGATTGATCACTGTTCGTTGAACTAAGAATTAAGTACTCTAGAGTAGGTAATTCATACCTCCCTTCAAAGAGTTGACTCCTCCTTTGCACAGCAGCTGAGTAAACGATGGAAAAATTCTTCAAAGCCACAGTGAGCAGTTCTTTTGATTTTGTTTTTTCATATGACACCTACCGGTATATCAAACAACACGAACAAAAAGAAAGTTGATTGAATTACCTTAATATTTAAAAAAAAAAAACCCTTTAGCTGAATGCATTTAACATCTGGGATTAATGTGTTGCCCTTAATGTAAAAAAAAATAAGGTGCACAAAATATCTGCACCAAATGAATAATGTAGCCAAAAGTATTTACCAAATTTGAAAATGGTGATAATTTTGAAAAAAAAAATTACCCTGATTACCTTATTGTTAAAAAGTAAAAAATCTAAAACTTTAATGGTAACAGTGTTTACAGTAAGGGTATTTATTACATTACGGTTGCAGTGAATTCAACATTTTACTGTTAATGTAAATAAATTACTCAATTTTTCCATCTTATTTCAGTAAAACTTGGTACACAATTTAGATTAAGAAACAAAATTTCTTTATAATGATATTTGATTTCGATGAACAGTTCTACCATGGTTACTAAAATAGACATTTCTGTAAAATTCTTTCAGAGCTTTACTCCTCTCAGTTCATTTATTTATGGTTGCAACGACCACATATATAAAATAGGGAATCTTTCGAGCACACGATGTGCCAGTGTGAATGTGATGGCATTTTTTAACAATACACCTAAAACGGCGTAGTCATATGGACATCGATCATACAACAGACCAAATACATATGATAACCTTACGTCAAAAAACAATAAGGTCCTCATCACATTCGCAATAAACTTTCCCGGTTCCCTTGAAATTTTGAATTGACTCTTTGAAGAAGCTAAAGCAAGTCCATACTTGGATTCTTCAACTGCAGAATACAAGCCAGTGTTTGTGATTATGGATGTTGCCTACCACAGGCTCTTTAAGCCTCCACGTGTGTCGGAAGATAATAAGTCTGATTCAACCCGTCGGTTCCTTAAACTTAAATATGCCAACAAAAGAATAGATGCTGTGAACATCTGTAACATTCTGTTGATCATAAAAAAGTCCAGTTTTGCATTCCAAATATTTCAAGTTGAAGTCTACAACCTACATTTCCCACAGATATTCCAAAATTGTTGCTTCCAAACTTGTAAATTATTAACAAACCTTGCAGTGCTAGATATTGAACATCTTAAACAAAATCTTTTTAAAGTATTCTTGTTCTTCCTCTTCTTGCAACTATAGTCCCGGTGGACACGTTATTACTGGTGATGTTAATATAATTAATTGATTGATTGTATGTTGTTTAACGTCCCTCTCGAGAATTTTTCACTCATATTGAGACACCACCACTTGCCGGTGGAGGGCTACAAAGTTTGACCTATATTCGGCACTCAGGGCCATTGAGCAGTGAGGGATCTTTTTCGTGCCAGCACCTACTGCGACACGGGACCTCGGTTTAAACGGTCTCATCCGAAGGACCGGTCTCCACGCCCCGCAGTCGGATTCGAACCCGGGACGTAAGGATCAACTCCTTACTCCGCGACTCTAGAGCATACGCTCTAACCACTGCGCCACGCATGCTAATTTAATTGAAATTGACAGCCTAAAGCTATCGTTTTAAAAGGTCCTAAAGATACGGAGCTCCAATCTTTCAACTGGGTACAGAACTTCATTTCTATTATGAATTCTGTCGACGATTATGCCAGACGTTGGGCAGAATATGAAGGGGAAGACCTGGACACTTTGTCAGAATGGATTAAGTGTTTTAGGAATATATTTAAGAATCGTGTAAGAGAGTTAAAAGGCAATATACCAACCATCTATCATTCCGTTTTCTTTTTCACTGAATCGGAGGTGATAAAAGAATTAGAAAGACTACATGAACAATATGTTCTGGTTCCAGCAGACAAGACTTGTTACTATACCGTCTTTGTTTGTAAGGCTCATGGTTACAACTGTATTTTAGAATAACTTTTTTTAATTCTACATCTGGAAATCCAACTTATTACTCACAGTTCACTGTCCAAGGATGAAATTCTTCAAAATCACATACCAGTGTTTAATACTGTTTAACATTCAGTCAACCAAGGTGAGTTCGATCTACCATACAAAGCCCCAATCTTTACTCCTCACAAAAATATTAAGTGCTATAAAGGAGAAACTTCAGACGTACTGTGCTACAGTATATTCTAGAAGTGGTGTAAATCAAATATGAATTCTCAAAAACTTTAAATAACTTTTAAAAAATCAAAATCACAATTTTTTTTTCAAAAGTTAGTAACATCAAAACTTATCATTTTTCTACACTTTATACAACCATTCCTCACAATGAATTAAAAGCTAGTCTTTTTGATATCATAGACAACTGCCTTCTTCAATAAAAATGGAACTCGGAAATTTACATACCTTGTGATTGGTGGTCATCAGCAAAGTTACTTTGTTTAAAATCGCTCTGATTTTGCACACAAGTACATGTACTCGATCTGAAGGGATATTGAAGGGATGCTGGAGTTACTCATCGACAACATCTTTGTAGTCTTTGGATACCAGGTCTTCCAATAAACTTTTTGGACTTTTAATGGGCATTAATTATGATCCTTTTTAGCTGGCCTGTTTTTATACTCCATTGAAGCAGAATTTATTCAAAAATTCTAAATGAGATGAAAACACCTGCTTTGGCCTTTAACTTAATATTCAGATGTAACGTTTTATCAGTTCACAATAGATACAATGTACTTCCATTTAAATTCAGCTCGATATATAACAGTGATATCGAAATAAAAAGACACCACAGAGTCTGCTATATCTGACTTATATTTGGTTGTTTTACTGACTATGGATGATAAGTACCAAATAACAATCAAACTTTTTCTTGTCAACTTTCATTATTTATGTTATTAAGGGATACTTGTTTATGTCCACTGTCACCTGCATACAGTGTTTATGTCTCCCAACTTATTCGATACTCAAAATCATGCTCTGAGTGATCAATGTTTAGACTGAGGCGGGCTACTGACAAATAAGTTGATGTTACAGGGATTTTAACAACCTCATTTAAAGTCAGCATTTCGTAAATTATTTTTTCGTTATAATTACTTTGTTAGGAAATATATCATTGGGTCGTATTTTGACTTACATATATTACCAATTGTTAGGCCTTTGATTTTATACTAAATTTGACTACGGAATATTTCGTCTACCTGAATCACGACGGGTGTAACCGGTCGACAAGGGATACTTACTCCTCCTAGGTACCTGATCCCATCTCTGGAATTTCCGGCTGTCCTTGTTTATGCCCTGTTCAAAGATTTGTATTTTTTTTAATCACTGTTCGTTATATTCACCATTTCATCATATCAAGAATTAAAAAACTCACAAGATATGGGTGGATGGGATCGTTGTACACCGCTTACTATTTTATATAGAATACAACCTCAAAAGTCAGCTGCATTCAGTAACATTCATCTCAGACAGTGCTTCTGATAAAATCAACAGCATTTGGCGATATTTGTCCAAGACTTTACTTTTTGATAAATTCAATGGAATTTGTAAACATTTTTCTCAATAAAATACTTTTTGTAAAGACGGTCTGGTGAATTTTGTAAAGTAAGCGGCATTTGGCGATATTTGTTAAAAAGATAGCAGAATTTCGCGACATTTGTTGGCTTTCGGTAAGTCAGCGGCATGGAGCGATATTTTTCAATGTGATTTTGGTAATGTCAGTAGCATTTGGCGACATTTGCCCACGAAGGTGCTTTTTGTAAAGTCCGAGTCATTGTCCAAAACATTTCTTCTGGTAAAGTCAGTGGTGTATTGCAACATTCGTCAAAGAGTCGCGTGGTGTTTGGTGAAGTCAATGGTATAAAGCGACATTTGTCTAAGGCAGTGTCTCTTGTAAAGTAAGCGGTATTTTGTGCCATTATCCCAGACGATGTTCTCGTTAAGTCGGTGGCATTTTGGTGATGTCGTCCGAGAGTGTGTCTCTGATGAAATCAGCCGCATTTAGCGACACTTCCAAAGCAGTCTTCTGATAAATTAAGTCAGTGACATTCAAGTGTCTGCAAGACAGTTCTTCTCGTAAAGTCTGCGCCATTTGTCAGCATACTTTTAACTGTTTAACTCCAAGACAATAATTGTTGTAAAGTCAGTGGCATTAAGCAACATTTCTGCAAAACAATGCTTTTTGGTAAAGTCAACGGCATTAAGTGGAATTTTCCTAAGACAGTGTTCCTGATAAAGTCAGTGGAATTTTGAGCTATCAATATTTTACACCAAGGCGATGCTTCTTGTAAAAAAAAAAAATCAGAAGGATCTGTCGACGTTACTCCAAGACAGTTCCTCTTGTAGTCATGGGCACTTGGTGACGTTACGCAAAGGCAGTGCTTGTAAAGTCAGGAGCGACGTTACTCCAAGGCAGTTCCAGTACTCCTTGTATAATCAGCAGGATATGGTCACGTTACTCCCAAGATAGTGACGATAGGGGAGCTCCTGCATTTGTACATGTATTCCTTATTTCACTTATCCTAAACGCATCTTTTAAATAAAAAATTAGCATTTAAAAATATCTTTTCATAACCAATTTAAAAATTATTCTTCTTTTGTAGAAATATACCAAAATCTCAGTGATCTACTTCTGGCCAGTTCTGCTTAAGGAGGCTGGGGGGGGGGGGGGGGGTCAACAAATTAACCACAAATTAACCACCAGATTTAACTTAATTTTTTAAATATGATATCTTAAGCTGTCAACTATCATTTGGCAAAGAAAAATTTAAAATTTTAGTTTTAAAATTTGATCCTTTTCTATATCTTCATATGGAGCTCTTCTTCTAAAGGAGATCAATATAGTCTAAAAATGGCCACGACCCCCCAGCCTCTTTTAATTTCTACGAATACTGTGTTGTTCGAGTTAACAGTTTTCTTAATTCGCTCTCTTAACTGCGGAGGCGAGAAAAGTGAACAGATGGTTTGTCGGTAGACAGAACAGACTCAACAGTGAGAACTCATATTCTCAATCTGGCGACGTGTTTCTCGTAATGTGACCATTATCAGCTGTTGTGACGCAGTATGAAGGCTGCAATATGTCAACTTCAATGTTTTGTTTCTCCATATATACACTTATCTGTCTGATTTCGCCATCTTTAGCCTTGTTGTACAACTCCACAGATGACGTGATCGGTTTAGACAATGCCACATTCTACCAAACAATATTGGGCTCACATTTTGCTTGGAATGTTGAGTTCTACAACTCCTGGTGTGGACATTGTATTCACTTTGCGCCAACTTATAAAAAGGTCGCCGCAGACACTAAAGGTAGGTGTGTGCTTAAAATTGATGTTCAAGTAATGAAGATAGTACTCAGGTACTGATATATAATCATGTTTGATTTCAAAGTTGAATTGTCAGTCAATGGACATGAAAAACCTTGTTTTAAACATGAATATGGAACGATCTATAGTCAGAATAAAGAATCAAATGACCCTCTGTGGAATGTAGGAGTGAAACGGTTCACCGCGGTATCGATTCACCGCGGTATTTTTTCTCGGTTTGATACACGGTGCAAAATCTCTAATTTTCGGTTCGGTTCATTTTTCGGTCGGGATCGTTATTCAGTCTGGTTTGCCATAAGGTAAAACACGTTACTCAGTATAAATAAGTATAGAAAACATAAAATTTTGATGACTGATAGCTTGTAAAATAATTTTTGACAGTCAAATAATTTTAATCAATTTCTTCTAGTCAATTTGCAAATAAAATTCGTAAAATATGTGACAAGATTTAGAAAAAGAAAGCATAAAACAATGTTGAATTTGTTTCCTTCTATCAAAATGTATCGTATCGAAAATAACCAAACCGAGACAAAATTATACAATACTTATCGAACCGTGAAGGAGGTGTATCGTTTCACCCCTAGTGGAATGTCAGTTTCAAAAATGACATCCAAGTTGGGGTCATGCGTAAAATACATCGAGTTTGATCTGGACGTTTACAGAATTCACACATGAAGTGTGAATGTAACTATGGTAAAAGCCATGTCCATCCATCTTTCAGTCTGTCCCTCCACTTCAGTGTTTGTTTTATGGGGTGGGGTGGAGGTGTATTAGAGGAAGACACCTACAAGAGTCAGTCAAAGTTCAAGAATAAGATATCTTCTTTGGATATGTTATTTAAAAAACTTGTATATGTCTTTCACTGACTTACTTACTAATAGAGGTGCAACGATATACTGATACACTGATACATACCAATATTTTCTGGTAAGATAGGGTTAACGATACATGCATTGAAAAATCCATACGAAACGATACACAAACAACCTATTAAAAAATTGAAAATGAAAGAGTAGCACTTATAAAACACTTGTGATTTGATATAAATTTTGTGGATTTATTGCCAAGAAGACAAATAAAATACTAAGTTTATTAAGTTTTCTAATTTATCATAATATCGAGATACATGTATCATATTGCATGTATTGAGATATGTATTGTATTGCAAGACCTGTGCATTGTTCCACCCCTATTTACTAAGTAGTTGTCCTTATTATATATATATAACTGATATGGAATGGATTGAAGAAGACTTTATATTGGTGTCACTTGATCAGGGATGTACAATATTATTGGTATATTGCGGTATGACCCACGGGGATTATATATTACAATATGAAAATCAAATACCAGTATTTCACGAAACTTATAAAAATATGTAAAAACCTAGCTTCTACTTGTAGAAACTGCTGAAATAACTTGTAATTTCCATGGGCATTTTAATCTCATAAAAAACAAATGTTTAAAAAACATGGACCAATGCTGTGGTCTGTGCTTACTACTTTGTCAGCTTTCAGAGAGAGAGAAAGAGAGAGAAAACTTTTTATTCACGGTTGTAATTTTGATAATCTCACTTTAAAATAAATTTGATTAGAAAAATGTATAAAAAATCATTTTTACAGCACATATGCTGTGGTTCTAAAATCTGAGGTGGAATCAGTACAATGGTTGGGATGTAGTACCAGTTTTTAATAGTCCAGTACATTTTACAATTATAAATGGCCACTGATGCCGGGTGAGCCGACTGAGCCGGAAAAATTTGATAGGCTTGGGCGGCTTCAACATGGCGTCCTTTGGGATAGTAGTGTTGAAAGTTGTTTGTTTTAAGACGTGAAGCTTTTGATCTAGGTACGCTTGTGAAATGAACATATTTGCAAAAAGTGTAGTCCTTTTCTATGCTAGATAATGTTTTACGATAGAAATATAATATTTCTATTACTTTACATGAGCCTGTTCACTTGATTCTAAGAGTGCACCGGGGTTTACCCGGCTTGGTTCGGCTTGGCCGAATTCTATCACAATCAAGTATGCTTAATCCTTATGATTAAAGATAAACTCAACTAGTCTTTGAACTTGATACTTGATAGCAATTCAAAGTTTCTAGTCAAATTTATTCATAATAATTAATACAATTTATTGCAATATTCAAGGTAAATATTGCAGTATATTGCAATATGATTTTCCGCACTTGATCAATGGTCAAGGCAAACATGTCAATTGACAAGTGTTTTGATCATTGAGAGTAAAAGGACATATTTACATCCACTGAATATTATTTCCTTTATTTCTTATAAAAAACGTTGCCGTTAATCATTCCGTAAACAACACTAAGCAAGCCACCTGCATAGATTTCTTAAGCAATGGCTGTTCCGTCAATTATGCATACGATGACATACATATCTATAATACAATATTTAACATATTTGATTTACTTTGAATGTTTTTTATAGGGATATAAATATAAACAATAAAATGTCTTTCTTTGTTTGTTAGAACGGGATTAACGTCGCAGCTATTGCAGAAAAAAAATCACATAACCTGCTTACGTGGGTTATGTATTTTTTCTGCAACAGCTGCGACATTAATTCCCGTACTAACAACCAAAGAAAGCATTTTATTGTTTAGTAAGGTTGATTGACAAAACTTTTCACCTTTTAATTACTTGATGCTTCATTATTTTCAGAACCAAAAAAATATTTAATTTAGGTTCATGGAAAAATTTTGAAGATAAATTCATTTAAAATCAATTGATTTTCATAATCAGTTGTTTATCAATAATTAGATAATATAATGAACTCATTAATCTTTTATGATCACTTATGGTTCTGACCGCAAAAAAAATGATAACTCCAAGAGACCTCAAATCTTTGAATTATATCTGTAACTATCTAGTAAATAAATTTATAAGGAAGGAAAATTGACTGAATGACTCTAAATTACACTTTACATGCTAATAAGTATAAATGATTGATGTGTTGTTTGAAATAGATTGTTTCTTGACTTTATACCAACATATGATGTCAATGAATGAAATTGAATATAATTAGTGATGATCAGTCATGAGATTAAATGTCTTTCCCAACATTAAATAAATCAACTTAAAAGCTTTTTTTCTGTATATAAGTAAATTATTATAGATTTTTATCAAATTAAGTTAATTTTTTTCTCCCGGAACACACACTTATATTGCACAAACACGAAACTACTGTAAAATCAATTATTTTCACAGGGTTAAATTTTTGTGGTTTTGAGGAAAAAAATATTAGTTCATGGGCATTTGATTTCATGGTTGATGAAGAGTATAGTCCAATTTTAGCACTTCACAGAGGGCATCATGGGCATGAATTCATGGGTCTCTTCATACCACAAAAACAAAACGATAATTACCGCCCACCCACCCTCCCTACCAACACCCCACCCCCAACCGCCAGTAAGAAAATTGGTGACTTCACAGTATATTTCAATGATTTTATTTTTTATGCAATTAAAAAATAGGGTAAAATTTTAATGTCCATTTTCAAAGGTCATGATCAAAAGCTCAAGATTTTTCAAATATGCATTCTGCTGTAAAGCCCTGTTTGACTTTGTCAGTTTTCTTAATATTAATGACTTTATCAGTACAATGAAATGTTTTATGCTTGGTATCAATTTTGTGGTTTTTCTTGAGTGCATATCACTTCATTCAAGACAAACATGCATTGTATACTAATACAGATGTTAAGATTATATTAAGATTACACTAACAGGAAAATAACACAAAAAAAACACACTTCCATCTAAATACATCTGTCACTTTATTTATTTTGTGCACAAATATCAATTATTTGTCTCAAATCAGAGATAATGAAGAAGTGTCACATTGCTTAATGTGTTTTTTTTAATGATTTTTTAAGGATAGTGTTAAAAAATATATCCTTCATAGAGTAAACAAACATATATAGACACCTTTAGATGTTTATATCTCTAATTTATTAAGCTTTTTGGTCAGTGTGTCTTGACTGCACTGAAAAATACACACTTTTTTGAATCACAGAGGCATTAAATGTTACAGCAGGAATGATAAATTATCAGTTCTAACTAGTGTAGGTAGTGAAAGGCTGTAAAGATGAATAGTAGCCATCTGTCCTTTCTCATGACGTACTTATCTATAGTGAATCAGGTTTTATGAAGTCAAAACAGATACAATATATCTTCTGGTTTGAAGCAGGTGCCCCTAAAGGTAAATCTGTTAGTATTGATCAGCATACTGCATTGTCAAAACCAGCTGCCTCTTCCAAAATTGTGAAATTCATGGCCCCAGGGTCAGGGGTTCTGGCCTCAAGGTGGGGCTACATAGATCATATAGTGAAAATGCATTAATTCTTTGAAAATCTTTTTCTCTGCTCCTGGGTATTAAATAAAGTAAGTAAGTACATAATTATGATGAGCAAGAGTGCCTCTTCCAAAATTGTGAAATTCATGGCCCCAGGGTCAGGGGTTCTGGCCCAAGGGTGGGGCTATATAGATCATATAGTGAAAGTGCATTATTTCTTTGAAAATCTTCTTCTCTGTTCCTGGGTATTAAATAAGGTGACTAAGTACATAGTTATGAAGAGCAAGAGTGTCTCTTCCTAAATTTTGAAATTCATGGCCCCAGGGTCAGGGGTTCTGGTGTTAGGGGGGGGGGCTCTATTGATTATATAATGAAAATGCATTTATTCTTTGAAAATCTTCTTCTCTGCTCCTGGGTATTAAATAAAGTAACTAAGTTGAGAGTTATGATGAGCAAAAGTGCCTTTTCAAGAATTGTGAATGTCATGGCCCCAGGGTCAGGGGTTCTGGCCTCAAGGTGGGGCTCTATAGATTATATAGTGAAAAAGCATTAATTCTTTGAAAATCTTCTTCTCTGCTCCTGGGTATTAAATAAAGTAACTAAGTACATAGTTATGATGAGCAAGAGTGCCTCTTCCAAAATTGTGAAATTCATGGCCCCAGGGTGGGGCTATATAGATCATATAGTGAAAGTGCATTATTTCTTTGAAAATCTTCTTCTCTGCTCCTGGGTATTAAATAAGGTAACTAAGTACATAGTTATGATGAGCAAGAGTGCCTCTTCCAAAATTGTGAATTTCATGGCCCCAGGGTCAGGGGTTCTGGCGTTAGGGCGGAGCTCTATTGACTATAGTGAAAATGCATTAATTCTTTGAAAATCTTCTCCTCTGCTCCTGGGCATTAAGGTGTAAACTAAGTACATAGTTATGATGAGGAGTTGGGCCCCTTCCAGAATTGTGAAAGCCATGGCCCCTGGGTCAGGGGTTCTGATGTTAGGACGGGGCTCTATTGATTATATAGTGAAAATGCATTAATTCTTTGAAAATCTTCTCTGCTCCTGGGTATTATTTAAACAAACTAAGTGCATGGTTATGATGTATAAGGAAGCCTTTTCAAAAATTGTGAATTTCATGGCCCCAGGGTCTGGGGTTCTGTAGCCCTTTTCACAAAAAATCTTAAGTTTTTTGCGTAAGATTTTAACTTAAGAATCTCTTACAACAAATCTTAAGTGCGTTTCACGAACGCATTCGTAGCAGATTGAACTTAAGATTTTACTTACGACAGATTTCATCCCTAGCAACGACTTCAATATGCTTTATAATCCTTAAATAAGTGCGTCAAAATAAAAATAAAACTAAGTTTTCAACATTTGTCAGCATAACAAACATTATTGCGAATGCAAGCGTTTGTGAAGCAAGAAAGTTTAAAATCTGACGTCACAATCACAAGTCTGACGTAAAAGTAGGTCATACGAAAATCTTAAGTGAAACTTATAACGTAAATATTTTGTAGTGTATTTCATTTGATTTTTCGACAATGATTGTGAAAAAAATATAAAATGTTATTGGAAGTTGCTTTAAAAAGTTCAATTTAACATGTATTTTGGTTTTTGCGGTTATATTTTTATAATAAAATCGATTTTAAAATACTTAAGAGAGGGTTGGGGCTCTCGTAAAGTTACGACAGATTTTGCACTTACAAATATCTTAAGACTTTTTGTGAAAACGATTTTTATCATAAGTTTTCACTTAGGATAAAAATATGTCGTAAGAGTGTTTGTGAAAATGTCCACTGGTGTTAGGGCTGGGCTCTATTGATTATATTGTGAAAATGCATTGATTCTTTGAAAATCTTCTTCTCTGCTACTGGAGATTATTTAAACAAACTAAGTGCATGGTTATGATGCATAAGGATGCCTTTTTAAAAATTGTGAATTTCATGGCCCCAGGGTCAGGGGTTCTGGTGTTAGGGCGGGGCTCTATTGATTATATAGTGAAAATGCATTGATTCTATGAAAATCTTCTTCTTTGCTACTGGAGATTATTTAAACAAACTAAGTGCATGATTATGATAGGCAAGGATGCCTCTTCCAAAATTTTTAAATATATGGCCTCAGTTTTTGGGGTTCTTGAGGAGGGGGGGGGGGGGAGGGGGGCTGTATTGATTATATAGTGAAAATGCATTAATTCTATTAGTTAATCCTGTCTGCTCCTTAATGTTGAGCTGATAAATAAATTGCTTGGCTATGATGAAAATTGGAGCTTCAAACAGAATTTTTAAATCTTGTGGTCCTAGGGTCAGGGGTTCTGGCATAACGAGGAGGGGGGGGGGGGGGGGGGGGCTTTGATAATATAGTGGAAAAGTGTTAATTCATTGAAGTCCATAGTTATGATGATGAGGGTAACTCTTCCAAATTTGTAAATTTCTTGACCTTTGATCTTGGGTTCTGGTGTTAAGGTAAGGCTTTGTTGAATCTGTAGTGAAAATGCATTGTACCTGTGAAATTCTTCTCTGCTTCTGGGCATATCGGAAGCAAACTGAGTAAAAGTTTAAATGATATAAGTAAGCATATTTCTACCAGATTTTTGAACATCTGGACCATTCGTCTAAGCATTCTGGTCCTGGACAGGGCTCTATTAATTTGTATTCTACTGAGAGAAGTTATTCCCCTTTTCCATTCACCTTTGATAATTAATCACTTTAAATACTGTATTTGAAAGGTTAATAGAATAAGATAATTAAGCAAGAATGTTTATCGTATCATTCAAAAAGTACTTTCTTAGTTTTAATAATCAGGCAGACCTGTAAGTAATAGATAAATAAAAATGAGACAAAAATAACTTATTTTATTAAAAGTTCTTCAAAGACCATAAGAGAGGTCAATGCTAGAGGTCTTAATATGGGTTTAAAAATAGTACAGAAGCACTAATAGTTTGTTAATAGTCTGCATGGTGATAGTGTTAAGTGGGGGACAGATTAGAACTTAAGTTATGAGTTGATACTGAATTATACTAAACTAATTATTTTGTTGATCCTGATCTTCCTACTTCTCTTGCTTTAGGGCAACAAAGCTTCATCTATCAGTATATTTAACTTCTAAATTGTTGTATTATACTCAGGTGACCATTAAGGCCCTTGGGTCTCTTGTTTATATTTGAGTGTATGATGAGTTACAGATCAAGTTTGCATTTCATCCTGCTTCAATGATATTTGACAGAATTATGGCATTTTCAATTTCTAATGGTTTTCCGCATTTTTTTCTAAACGCTTGCAGATATTGAGCTGATTTTTGGTGTGTTACTTTATCTTGATCGAGTTACAGATCAAGTTTGCATTTTGTTTGGCTTCATCGATTTTTGGCTGAATTATGGCATTTTCAATTTTTAACTAGAACCAGATTACACTTGCCGGTAGGGCAAGAATGCTTGTTCAAAAAAAAGGAAATGCAATTCTTAAAATGTGGGGCATTGGAAACATTTTAAAAATTGATATAATGACACTGTCTGAATGAGGATTCATCACAAACCCAGTGCATCTAATAAATGAGACGATAAACTTCACTAGAACCATGTAAAGATACATGTACTTACAGAAATGTTCTGTATGCTGTTTGTTGTATCCCTGGCAGCTGTACATCTCTAGCTTGCCTGGTCAAAAAAAAATGGGATGGACAACCAGAGAGCTACAGATCCTCCCAATTATAAAAGTGTTTATATTTAACCTGTCATCTCAAAAGGTTCTTGGCACATTTTTTATTACTTCTACAGAAAATGACATACCACAACCATTGTTGTTGGATCTCCTGGGCCATTGAAAATTTTGCCTTGTCATGCCACCTTAAATGGTAGTACATGTACATGTATAAATAGGCAAAATTTTGAATGTCTCATTTTCAGGCCTAAGAGGGATATTGACAAAGATTGTGGGAACTGTTTTGTTGGAGATGTAGTAAAAGAATTATAGTGAGATGTTTTGATTTCTATGTCAAAAAGCGGCTAAATTTGACTCCTTTCATATTTTGTTCTCTATAAGAAATAAACATTTCTATACTTTCAGATTAAATTCCAGGCCTTGCAAAACTATTTTCCAGATTATATTTGATATTTTTCTTTGCCAGAATGTTTATTAATGTAGACCCAATGAAATATTAGTTTTTATTTAAAGGATGGAAGGGAGCTATTGGCGTAGCAGCCATTGATTGCTCAGATGTTAAAAACCAGGCTATTTGTACTCACTATGAGGTGAAGGGCTTCCCAACTCTGAAGGTAAGAGAAAAAAAACAGGCTATATGTACTCACTATGAGGTGAAGGGCTTCCCAACTCTGAAGGTAAGAGAAAAAAAACAGGCTATATGTACTCACTCTAAGGTGAAGGGCTTCCCAACTCTGAAGGTAAGAGAAAAAAAACAGGCTATATGTACTCACTCTAAGGTGAAGGGCTTCCCAACTCTGAAGGTAAGAGAAAAAAAACAGGCTATATGTACTCACTCTAAGGTGAAGGGCTTCCCAACTCTGAAGGTAAGAGAAAAAAAAAACAGGTTATTTGTACTCAGTCTAAGGTGAAGGGCCTCACAACTCTGAAGGTAAGAGAAAAAAAACAGGCTATATGTACTCACTTTAAGGTGAAGGGCTTCCCAACTCGGAAGGTAAGAGAAAAAAAACAGGCAATATGTACTCACTTTAAGGTGAAGGGCTTCCCAACTCCGAAGGTAAGAGAGAAAAAAACAGGCTATATGTACTCACTCTAAGGTGAAGGGCTTCCCAACTCTGAAGGTAAGAGAGAAAAAAACAGGCTTAAGAACACACTCTAAGGTGAAGGGCTTCCCAACTCTGAAGGTAAGAAAAAAAAAACAGGCTATATGTACTCACTCTAAGGTGAAGGGCTTCCCAACTCTGAAGGTAAGAGAAAAAAAAACAGGTTATTTGTACTCACTCTAAGGTGAAGGGCTTCCCAACTCTGAAGGTAAGAGAAAAAAAACAGGCTCACTCTAAGGTGAAGGGCTTCCCAACTCTGAAGGTAAGAGAAAAAAAACAGGCTATATGTACTCACTCTAAGGTGAAGGGCTTCCCAACTCTGAAGGTAAGAGAAAAAAACAGGCTATATGTACTCACTTTAAGGTGAAGGGCTTCCCAACTCTGAAGGTAAGAGAAAAAAACAGGCTATATGTACTCACTTTAAGGTGAAGGGCTTCCCAACTCTGAAGGTAAGAGAAAAAAAACAGGCTATATGTACTCACTTTAAGGTGAAGGGCTTCCCAACTCTGAAGGTAAGAGAAAAAAAACAGGCTATATGTACTCACTTTAAGGTGAAGGGCTTCCCAACTGTGAAGGTAAGAGAGAAAAAAACAGGCTATATGTACTCACTCTAAGGTGAAGGGCTTCCCAACTCTGAAGGTAAGAGAGAAAAAAACAGGCTTAAGAACACACTCTAAGGTGAAGGGCTTCCCAACTCTGAAGGTAAGAGAAAAAAAACAGGCTATATGTACTCACTTTAAGGTGAAGGGCTTCCCAACTGTGAAGGTAAGAGAGAAAAAAACAGGCTATATGTACTCACTCTAAGGTGAAGGGCTTCCCAACTCTGAAGGTAAGAGAGAAAAAAACAGGCTTAAGAACACACTCTAAGGTGAAGGGCTTCCCAACTCTGAAGGTAAGAAAAAAAAAACAGGCTATATGTACTCACTTTAAGGTGAAGGGCTTCCCAACTCTGAAGGTAAGAGAAAAAAAAACAGGCTATTTGTACTCACTTTAAGGTGAAGGGCTTCCCAACTCTGAAGGTAAGAGAAAAAAAAACAGGCTATTTGTACTCACTTTAAGGTGAAGGGCTTCCCAACTCTGAAGGTAAGAGAAAAAAAACAGGCTATATGTACTCACTCTAAGGTGAAGGGCTTCCCAACTCTGAAGGTAAGAAAAAAAAACAGGCTTTAGGAACACACTCTAAGGTGAAGGGCTTCCCAACTCTGAAGGTAAGAGAAAAAAACCAGGCTGTATGTACTCATTTTAAGGTGAAGGGCTTCCCAACTCTGAAGGTAAGAGAAAAGAAACAGGCTTTAAGAACACACTCTAAGGTGAAGGGCCTCACAACTCTGAAGGTAAAAGAAAATATTTTAAAAAAATATTGATTAACTGTGAGGTGAACATAAGAGAAAAACATACAAAAACAGGCTTCCCATCTCTGATGAGATTATTATGATATTTTTTATCCAACAGGTTGTGTATTTTCTATCCCAAAGCCTTTGGCAAGAGGATAGTAAATGTACACCCAGATCTATGAAAAAGATTTTTATGGAACATTCTTCTTTTTTCATGTTTTACTTACATGTAGTACTCTTATCAGGTTTACTCCTCATTCTCTTTACTACATGTTGATTTGTAAAATAATGCATTAGGCCAGGTAAAATTAATCTTTAGATTATCATACCCTTCCATCCCTTAGAAAGTGTCCCAGCCGTTTGTTTTTTATTTTGGTTTTTTATCAATAATCAATTGGAAGTTTGTTGGCATCGATCAAATAAAACATAGGTAATCAGAGATTACAGAGCTCACCTCAATGAATGTTGTCTTTAAGTAAGGCAACTCAGGTAATTCAGTACATCTTTTCTTTAAAAAAAAGAAATGTTTTAAAAAGGAGATGGGCAAACATAGCGTGCAGAAAGCCTATAGCTTCAAATATATAAAAATCATATTCAGTTTGTGAATTCAGTATTTAGAGTAAAGTTCTCATTATTGAAATGTATGAAATTATGATAAACAAAACTTTTCTGAGGAAAATTTTCTCGGAAAATTTATTCTTTTATTAAAAAAAATAATGTGATATTCATGGGGGTTCGAACCCTAGCAATAAAAATCCTGAGTATCATTTCCTCTCGAGACTAGCACGCTAACCACTAGACTACACAAGATCTGATGAATATCGGTATTTAAAACATGTTTGTGATATGACCCTTGACTTAATGGACTTCAAGTATTTCTCGGAAAGATGCGAATTTTGTGTCATAAAAGTGTATTTTAAAGGTATAGTGGGTCTTTGCTCCATATTTTAGGAAACCAAAAAATGTATATTTTTATGCAAACTTCGAGGATTAACTTTCAAAAAAATGGAGCGAAGACCCACTCATATCGAAAAATAGTGTTATAGTATGAGAAAATGACTCTTTTTGCCCTCTTTAGTGTGTGTACAATATTTCATAAGCAAATAATTTCAATCTTTGTGAGATTTTTGTAAATTGTAGAGATTTTACATAAAGTATATTTTAATGTCAGATGAAGTATCAAGGAAAATTTTGATATAATTGAGATTTAATTTTCACCTTCATGTTTGTCACACTATAGGCTTTTCGCTCGTCATGTTCACCCATCTTCTTAGTTTATAAGAGTGTTAGTTTTTGAAGAAATATTCTAGAATTTTGAAATTTTTAATCTGTCTGTCATACAAATGTGTTTTGACCTTAAAATTTGCAGAGAAACCTCTTTTTGCAGTATAAAGCTTAGCTTGGAATAATTTCCTCTGAGTATCTCTTGAAATTTTATAAGCAATATGAGAAATGAAATTCTAGAACTCATGAAATTTAACTTGATAAAGAAGACTATATGTTGTTATCAAATATCAGGGAAAGTACACATCAATTCAAGTCAATCTGGTTATTTTCTGTATGATATATTTATATGCTTATGGGACTGTCAACTGAAACAGTGAAAAGTTCAATGGTGGCCCTAGGTAGGATCATATTCAGTCTATCTGAGATATTTTCATCCTGTGATAAAAATTGTTTCAGCTGGTTTTGCTCAAATGTTCATAAAAAAAATGAATTCAGACTTGTGGTGATGGTGCAAGACCAATATTTTATACACAGACTCTATTGATAGATAAACACCATTACAAATATAGATTATGATAACACGTTTTATTGAAATCAGAGATTTATCTAAGTGTGTTAATACATTTGTCTGTTTCTATCAGTCTGTGGGGTACTTCCTGAATTTAATTCAGTGATTTATACAGACCAAATGACACCAAAGTGCCATATTTTATATCAGAGCAACAGCTGCTTAGAGAATTTATGAAAATATTTTAACTGAAAATATAACAAATCATTTATTATAGGAGTGTACTGATAATTCTAGTTATTCCCATTTTTAGCTCACCTCGACAAAGTCGAGATGAGGTTATGCCATAGACCCAGTGATGGCGTCGATGTCCAGGTTAAAGTTTTAGGAGCAAGTCCATTCCCCAAAAACTATAAGCCCTACCTGCACCAAACTTGCATGGATGATGTATCCAGGGATGGACCCTACCAGACTTGCTTTGGATGCTAGATCTGACCTACATTTTCCAGATGAGTGACCAGGTTAAAATTTTTACAGCAAGTCTATTTCAAAGTACAAAAAGCCCTACCTGGACCAAACTTGCATGGATGATGTATCTAGGGATGGAAACTTCAAAACTTGCTTCAGATGCTGGATCTGACTTACATTTTACAGATGAGTGACCAGGTTAAAATTTTTGTTGTAAGTCCATTCACAAGTAATGTAAACCCTACCTTATACCAAACTTATATGGATGGTGCATCAAGGGATGCACACTAACATACTTGCTTCAGATGCTGATTTGACCTACATTTTTAGCTCTTCTGAGCTAAAGGCTCAAAGAGCTAATGCTATGGCCATTTGTGCGGTGTGCGTAAACTTTTTAGAATATGGGCCATAACTCAATAACTCCTTGGCCAATTATTGTCAAATTTGTCACAGGGTATCCTTGGCCCAAGGGCTCCCTTTTGTACTAAAACTAGGGTTGTGACCCTTAAACAAGGGGAGATAATTAGTAAAACAGAAACAAAAGTACTGGTTGCTAAAAAATCTTCTTCTCAAGAACCACTGGGTAGATTATCACCAAACTTACACAAAAGGATGAGGATATGTTGTAGATTAAAAATTGTTCAAGGCATCACCCTGGGGCAAAGGGCGTGGTCTCAAGGTCACTTCAAAGTTGACCAAAAATTACATTTTATTAAAATGTTGATATTTTGCTTACTATAAGGACTAGGATCATCAAATCTTGTCAGTTGATGCATCTAAGGACCTCATATCATGTTGACTTAAAAGTAGGTCACGGTGACCTACTTCTTAAGTTTTGCAGCCATTTTTTTTCAAAATGATTTAGAGGCATATTTTGAACAATTTAAGGCCTATGATCATCAAACTTTGTCAGTTGATGTATCTTGGGTCCTCAAAGTACATCAACTAAAAAGTAGGTCACCTTGACCTACTTTTTGAATTTTATGGCTAATCTTTTACAAAACAATTAAGGTCAATAATTCGAATACTGAGAGGTTTAGAATCCTGAAATCTTGCAAGAGGATGCATCTTGGGGCCATAAAACATATGTATTAAAAAGTAGGTCACAGTGATCTACTTCTTGAACTTGGCAGGAATTCAATTTCAAAGTGTTTTAGAGGCATAATTTGGACATTTTAAGGCCTATGATCATAAAACTTTGTAAGTTGATGCATCTTGGGTCATCGCAGTAGGTCAACTGAAAAGTACCTTTCAATTTATATGACTATAATTAAATATTTCAAGTACTAATTGGCTTAGAATCATCAAACTTTGTCAGTTGATGCATCTTGGGTCTTCGGAGTAAGTCAATCAAAAAGTAGGTCACCGTGAACTATTTTGGAAAATTTATGGCTTTAATTAAATATTTTGGGTACTAATTGGCTTAGATTAATCAAACTTTGTCAGTTGATGCATCTTGGGTCTTCGTAGTAAGTCGACTGAAAAGTAGGTCACCCTGACCTACTTTTGAAATTTTATGGCTGTATTTAATATTTTTCGGGTACTATTTGGGTAAGAATCATCAAAATTTGTCAGTTGATGCATCTTGGGTCCTCGCAGTAGGTCGACTGAAAAGTAGGTCACTGTGACCTACTTTTCAATGTATATGACTATAATTAAATTTAAGGTACTAACCGGCTTAGAATCATCAAACTTTGTCAGTTGATGCATCTTGGGTCCTCGGAGTAAGTCGACTGAAAAGTAGGTTACCCTGACCTACTTTTGAAAATTTATGGCTGTATTTAATATTTTCGGGTACTATTTGGCTAAGAATCATCAAAATTTGTCAGTTGATGCATCTCGGGTCCTCGCAGTAGATTGACTGAAAAGTAGGTCACTGTGACCTACTTTTCAATTTATATGACTATAATTAAATATTTCAGGTACTAATCGGCTTAGAATCATCAAACTTTGTCAGTTGATGCATCTTGGGTCTTCGGAGTAAGTCAACTGAAAAGTAGGTCACCCTGACCGGGCTGTATTTAATATTTTTTGGGTACTATTTGGATTAGAATCATCAAATAGAAGTGATAGGTTGTACAGTTTATCAGAAGAGCGATCCAAGGCCCTTGGGCCTCCTGTTCAGATGAGTGACCAGGTATAATTTTTGGAGCAGGTTCCATTCCCAAGTAACTATTAACCTTATACCGAACTTGAGGGGATGATGCATCTAGGGATGTACACTACCGAACCTGCTTCAGATGCTGGTTCTGACCTACATTTTCCAGATAAGTGAATATTACCCCTTGCTGAACCAAACAAGCATAGAGGATGCATCTAGGGATGGAGACTACCAGACTTTCTTTGGATGCTTGATCTAACCAACATTTTCCAGATCAGCTAATATTAGCTCATGCAACCAAAGTTGCATTGATGATGCATCTAGGAATGTTCATTTTCCGACCTGCTTCAGATGCTAGATCTGACTTACATTTTCTAGATTGGATGATGCATTTAGGGATGGACACTACCAGACTTGCTGGATCTGACTTACATTTTCCAGCTGAGTGAACAGATTAAAGTTTTTGGAGCTGGTCCATTCCCAAGTATCTGTAAGTCCTACTTAAATCAAACTTACTTGGATATTGATCTAAGGATGCACACTAACACAAAAAAAATTGGTGTGAGATTTGCCTTACTTATAGATAACATTCAGCAAGGTAAGCTTTGTAATCTTCAATTATATGTTTTCTTTTCATGAAATAATCATAGTTCAGAATAGGAATTTTCTGGATGAGTGACCAGGTTAAAGTTTTTAGAGCAGGTCTTATTTCCTAGTAACTTTAAGCCCTATGTTGACCAAACTTGCATGGATGATACATCTAAAGATGCACACTACCAGGCTTGCTTCGGATGCTGTATCTGACCAGAATTTTCCAGATGAGTGACCAGGTTAAAGTAATCTATAAGGGCTATCAGAACCAGAACTTTCATTTTCTGGATGAGTGACTAGTTTAAAGTTTTTAGGTAAGTCCATTTCCAAGTAACTGCAAGCCCTATCGGACCAAAATTGCGTAAATGTTACATCTAGGGATGCACACTACTAGATAATTAGTTTGGGACTTTGCCTTACTTAAAGACAACATTCGTTGAGGTGAGCTCTGTAATCTCTGGTTACCTATGTTTGTGTGTCTGTTAGATGAATAAAGGTGTTTTGTCAGCTGCAGAACTGTAGCACTATTGTTTTACCATGTAAGGAGAAATTTTAGCGAGGATTTAATTTTGGCATTATTAGCAAGGGTTCTGAGCTCGCTAAAATTGAATATCACTAACATTTTATTCCGTATCGGTTGTTATAGCTATTTCTCTTTACATTATAAAATCGCTAAAATTACTTCTCGCTAAAAATATATACCGTACATACTCGCCTATAAGTCGGTCCGCCTATAAGTCGGTTGTATTTTTTTAGGTTAATTTGGAGGAATTTGCCATTGACCCGCGTATAAGTCGGTACAACTTTTTGCCAGAATCAGTTGACAATTTCAAATCAATATTCTGATGTTTTAACCTGGTTTCGAATAATATTTTTAGAAATGACGCCAATATTTAATTTTAAATCATTAAAAAAAGTATATAATGCACACTTAAGATAAAAATAGTAATAAAATATGTATATACTTGTACTTTATGTGTAAACTTAGAATACATAGATGATATAATATATCCAGACTTTGTTCAATGATAATCGTGGGAAATATTTATAAAATACTACATTTTACAGTCCAGAGAATACCAATCTTTTTATGACTCGCCTATAAGTCGGTCATAGAGTTTTGGACCAATATTTAACTCCCAAAAAACCGACTTATAGGCGAGTATATACAGTACTGACTTCTGGGGATAAATTGCTAAATTTGTGTCTCGCTTAAATTTCCACTTATACAGTATATTTTAGTCTTTGACCTTAACATGGTATAAAAATATAAAACCATAATGCTAAAGTTCTGCAGCTACCAAGAATTCTAGATATTTAGGATAAAATATTGAAAGAAAAAGTAATTGGGACTTTCAAATCACTTCAGCATATCCACGGTATTAAAAATATCCATGTTCAAGATACCAAAGTTCAGTAGTATTTGATGTGACAATGTCTATATGTCTCAGTGTCTTTGATATGACAATTTCAATAAAACAATGTCTCAAAGCATTTGCTGTCACAATTTTACTTTGTTTTTATGTCTTGAATGTGACAATTTCTACCATGTCTTGTCCCTATTATATTTTCTACTATAATTTTAAATCTAGGACTGGGCATTTTTGAAGTCTATTTTGTAAACATTTGAACGCTCTACTTAAAATAATCCCCACACCATTTCAGCTGATACCTCCGGGGGCGGGTCATGAGGACCTGGGTCTGGACTATTACAGCATTGACCAATCAGAGATTGAGATAATGATGATTGATTACCTGACCAATCTCACCATAGTGAACAGAAAACCAAGAGGATGTCCGTACCTGTTACCTCTTAGGTGAGACAACAGCAATGAACCAATTACCTGCTGAAGCCAATGACAAAGTATTTTTGGCAGTTTAAAAGTTATTGCATGGAATTCAATTAATATGCCAGGGGTATTTTATTATAGCTATATTCAAGCAAGTTTTTTTTTTTTTTTTTTAACTTTTTACATTTTGGTCTTCTTCCCCAATCCAGTGGGCCAGTTTCATCAAAATATTTTTTTAAATACAGACATATAGAAAACATCTGGCAGTCAGCAAGACAAGAACACAAGCTTGTAGCCCTCATCTTTGAGGAGGAGGAATCATATCTCGGGAGACAAGTAAGTTAATAAAACATGTATTTACATTTGATGTTTGTTGTTAATAAAACATGTATTTACATTTGATGTTTGTTGTTAATAAAACAAGTATTTACATTTGATGTTTGTTGTTAATAAAACATGTATTTACATTTGATGTTTCTTGTTGCATGTATATTGTCTACATCTTTTTTACACTGATTTCTGTCCCATATTTTATAAAGGGTCATAGCCACACTGTTTTTACTAGTCTTTTTTTCATGTTTCCTGTTTGGAATAAGTTCCTTTTATTCTTTATCCTGTTATTGTCAATATTACTTCATTTATAGCAAAATTAGATATTATGTTTCTTTCTGGTAGTGGCAAGTCTTACAACAGTGTCTTAAATTGGTTCAAGATCTGCTTAAAAAGATATGATATTTATAAGTTGAAGTACACTATTTTACATGAAGGGTCATAATCCAGACCTTTTTTACTCATCTTTTTTCTGTTTCCTGTTTGGACTGAGTTCCTGTTATACTTATCCTGTGATTATCAATATTCATTCTTAACTAAAACATTTTTATGTTGTAGGTTATATTGGACCTCAGCCTGAATTCTAACATTCTAGTTCTTAGAATGGATGCCCAGAGCACAAAAAAGTTTGGCATCACAACATTTCCATCTCTGTATTTATTTGAGCCACATGGTTTTAAGCAGATTGCAAAGTAAGAGTTTTCAGGATGGTAAAAAAGATCATTTTCTTTATGTCTGTATTTAACAGAAATGTTAATTCAAAATCTTCATATTAAGTTATGAATGATGAATATTATATCTTTATTTATTTATTTTTTAGATATATATCTTTAATTGAATGAAGGTTGTTGTTATTTTTATTTTACATTCAAATGTTATTGATACTTGCAAGTGCAGGACTAAGTTGCCTAGTGATTCAGTGATACACTCAAGTTTCAGAACACTAACAGTTGATTTACAGATGGTAATGGTTGATAAAAAAAAATATATGAGAAGCAACAAGAACATCAGTGAAATATTCATGTTTAAATATTTGATTGACAAGACAAATAAAAGTGCTCTCATGTGATTTTGATAAAGTAATTATATATTGTGGAAGCATCATTGTTCATGGGGGACCAATGAGCATGGGTTTCTTGATTGCCAAAGAACATTGACACCCTCCCACCCCTACCCCAAATTAAAATGATTTGACAATAAAGAACTTGATCACATAGTAATCAATAGACATGTACAATTTGTACATTGCAAGATACTTTATATTGAATACATAAGCAAACTAAATTTAGCATTCTTTTTACAGTTTCATATGCTATACTATGGATGGTGTCTATCTCTTGTTTTCAGAGGTTATACTGACAGAGCATCCTTTGTGAGTGCATTGACAGCCCTTGTCTCCACAGAGAAACTAGGTGGTAGAAACCAACAACCACTGCCTTTGCCAGACTCTGAGCATCTGCAACAGGAAGTTGATGTTCTTCAACCCCAGAATCAGAAAAAAAGTGTCCAAGACATGGCTATTAAAGAAAAAAGCCCTGAAAAGTTAGTTTATATATATATATATATATATATATATCTATATATATATGTAAGACTCCAAAGTCCGATGGTCACGCCAAAGGCTGCTGGTCTCGCCAAAGTCTGATGGTCTGCGCTGAACCACGATGGTTTGATGTCGGTACGGACGCCAAAGTCCGATGGTCACACCAAAGTCCGATGGCTCGTTTCCCATGAGACGCGCTGCGCTAAAGTCCATTGGTGCGGAGAAACAATCAACATTTATGATTTCACAGTATTCCGACATCAGTCCTTGACGCCGTTGTCCTGCATTCAAAAGCCATCAATTTAGTATTCGTCCTCGCATACAGTTTCACTGATTTTGCTTATTGCTTGCACCCAACAGAGATATTAGGGTTAGTCCTCGCTTACCACTCAGCTGATCAGGGTTAGTCCTTGCACACTTTTGGACTGATTATAGGATAGCTTCGCATAAACCCGAGAGATTAAGGGTTAGTCCTTGCACACTATTCAACTTATTAAGGTTGGTCTCGCATTCACCCAAGATATCTAGTTTATAGTTTTTACACACCTTTCAACCAATTAGGGTTAGTCTTGCACCTCTCTGGACTAACCTCTCTGAGAGATTAAGGTTAATCCTCGCATAAAAAATTTATTTTGTATTATTTTAGATCTTGGCGTGTTAAACCATCAGGGTTTGGCGCAGATTATTGGACTTTGGCATGACCATCGGAATTTGGAGTCCCATCACACTTTGGAGTCCTACATATATATAGCCAATATAATGACTGCAAGAAGTTTAGTAAGGAAGCATCAAAACAGATATAAACAATGATTTTGATATCACTTCAGGTATGCTGTCCACATGCAGGACTTGGAGTCTGCTTTGACCTATTGTTTGAGGCATGAGGTGGCCATCCATAAAGACATTCAAGGGGAGGATCTAAAAGCTCTCCAGCATTTTGTTCGCATTCTTGCTAAAGTAGGCAATATTTTTAGCTGAGGAATGTTGTTCTTTGTGTGGTTCATACTGGTTCAGAGAATTGAAAAATGATTTAAAGAAACTTTTATAAGGAAATGATGCAATTCTTTTCATTTTATAATGTATCTTTAAACTAGTCTAAATTTCTAAGAATACTTTAATATATCCTTCCATTCTTTTTGTAACACAAGGTAGGTTTTATGAAAAAAAAAAAAAAAAGAAGCTAGTTGTTTGAAGTGAAATTGTACAAGTTTGCTATTTTTAGTATTTTCCTGGACGGGAGGAGGTGAGTAGTTTTCTGAGGAAGCTGTCCAGCTGGCTGGATGGGGTACCAGACATAACTAGCTATCACTGGTCACACATGATTGAATCCTTACAGGTAGGTCATTCTGTTCAAAGGCTTTGCCAATGGCAAACTTCTGTTACATATATATAATGCACCAAAGAGTTGTGTGGGTTTTTTTTCGGCAATACATGTATTTGAAATGACTTGATTGTTGATTGTTTCCCTTAAAATTCAGTAAGCATGTGTTCGCTGAGAAGAAAAAGTGCTCTTTCTTTTATAGCAAAATATATTTCTAAAACCATGTACAAAAAATTTTAAAGGTAGTTTTTTTCTGTATGCAGGGGAAACAAGTCCCATGATAACTGCTTTTAGTTGAATTTTTTCTGCTCTTCTTTTTGTAGACTGTTGATTCTTTTCTGCCAGAGTCAGTCCTCTGGGTTTCCTGTCAAGGGAGTCAGACTTATTTCCGTGGATACCCATGCGGCATGTGGACTCTCTTTCACACACTGACGGTCAATTCTTACCTGTACGGAAAAGACAGTGAGTTCATAATACTATAGAATTTACTCAAAGGGCAATACATGATGTACCCAATATATAAAATACACATTTCTAGTCCGAAAATGAGTGTGGCAGTCTTTACTTTGAATAATAATTCAAAAAAGGTAAATTTTTGAATATTTTATATTTTCATTAATTGACAAGCTATTTTAATTTTTGCAAGTTTTGTTTTTCAATGTAAAAAAAATATATCCTGTGTTATAGCTGTGAAATAGAATTAATTCATAAGAAAGGAAAATAATCAACAGAAATATGTTGTAGGTGCTAAGTTCCTGTACAAGGATGTTCTCATAGCTATAGGAGGTTATATGAAGCATTTCTTTGGCTGTGTGTTCTGCAGCAGACATTTCACAAAGATGGCAGCAACCATCGACACTGAGGTGACCTCACCTAAAGAGCTTGTCCTATGGCTGTGGAGGTCACACAACAAGGTCAATAAGAGGCTCCATGGTGATGCCTCGGAGGACCCTAAACACCCAAAAGTCCCTTTTCCCCCCAAAGCTGCCTGCTCAAAGTGTCACAAGTCCCAGGGCAACCAAGATCCCGAGTTTGATGAAGAGGCTGTGTTGATTTATTTGTTAGAATTGTATGGATCTGATCATATTATTAGCATTCCAAATGAAGTGGAGGACATTCCAGATATTAGTTCAGATAAGAAAGATATGGATTGGTGGCAGAAGATGCAGAGAAGCAAGGATCTGGAGAAACTCCGAGAGCTTCGTCAACAAAAACAGGAGGAAAAGAGGAAGAAGCTGTTGTCTAGACAACCAAGTCACCGTAAAGGTTCCTCAAGGGAGGTAAATCTCCCAGCTGTCGGGACAGTCAGTACCACAGACATGGGACTCTGTGCTGTTTATTATGTATTGTGTGTGTCCATCATTATTGCTTTATATTATCATTTTTTCTACAAGAGAAGATGCAAGTCTAAAAAACACTTTATATGATACCATGTTAGGGAGGGTTTTATACAAGTACATAAAGTCACATGCCCTAAATAGTGAAATCAGTATGTATCAAATTCAGATATCATATTACTTAACATGGAAATGCAATAATTTTATAAACATTTTTGCAATCATATTTTCAAGTTTATTCTGTAAATTTTAAATACCAAGAATTGTGCTAGTCAGTAATTGTATTGTAGAATTTTATCTGTGATTTAAATGTTCCAGTTAATTATGCTGTCCTTTTCAACCACCTTCAAAGGCCTTTTAAATTTTTGTGTATTTTGCATTTTGCATTTTATGTGTCTGATGTGCATTAATTGGAGTTGAAAACTCAACATATCAGCACTGTTTGATGATCATTTCACCAAAGAAGTTTTGAATCATAGAATTAAAAAGCAAATAAGATACAGTGATTCTGTGAAACATTTAACCAATGGTAAGACATTGGAAAAAAACATATAATGTTTTGCAGTCCTTACACCAACTAGTATTTTGACACCAAACTTTCATCAGTATCATAAAATGCATTTAGTATTCAGATGTTGACTACCCATAGATAAATACACATATTTATACCCCCGCTCCGAAGGAGAGGGGGGTATACTGTTTTACCCTTATGTGTCTGTCTGTCCGTCTGTCTGTCTGTCTGTCTGTAACAAATTTTGGTCACAGTTTTCTCAGCAACTACTCATTGCAGAAGCTTGAAATTTTAGCACAATCTTTGTTTAGGCATGCCATATGGTGGGAGACATTTTTGTACGAATTGGATGTCAACTTCCTGTTTATCCGTGTGTCTGTCCGTACCATACATAACAAATTTTGGTCGCAGTTTTCTCAGCAACTACTCATTGCAGAAGCTTGAAATTTTAGCACAATCTTTTTTTAGGCATGCCATATGGTGGGATTCATTTTTGTACGAATTGGATGTCAACTTCCTGTTTATCCGTGTGTCTGTCCGTACCATACATAACAAATTTTGGTCGCAGTTTTCTCAGCAACTACTCATTGCAGAAGCTTGAAATTTTAGCACAATCTTTGTTTAGGCATGCCATATGGTGGGATTTATTTTTGTACGAATTGGATGTCAACTTCCTGTTTATCCGTGTGTCTGTCCGTACCATACATAACAAATTTTGGTCGCAGTTTTCTCAGCAACTACTCATTGCAGAAGCTTGAAATTTTAGCACAATCTTTGTTTAGGCATGCCATATGGTGGGATTCATTTTTGTACGAATTGGATGTCAACTTCCTGTTTATCCGTGTGTCTGTCCGTACCATACATAACAAATTTTGGTCGCAGTTTTCTCAGCATCTACTCATTGCAGATGCTTGAAATTTTATCACAATCTTTGTTTAGGCATGCCATATGGTGGGATTCATTTTTGTACGAATCTGATGTAAATTTCCTGTTTATCCGTGCGTCTGTCCGTACCATACATAACAAATTTTGGTCGTAGTTTTCTCAGCAACTACTCACTGCAGGTGCTTGAAATCTTAACACAATGTTTGTTTAGGCATGCCATATGTTGGGATTCATTTTTTACTAATCCAATGTCAATTTCCTGATTATCACTGTGTTTGTCCATAATTGAACTTGTGTATTCACATCAGAGCGGAGGTATTATTAGTGAGCATTGGCTCACAGACTTCTTGTTTAACCAGGTTTACAGATGGAGATGAGTTTTGTTATAATGTTGTCATTCTTGCAAGCCACTGGATTTTAATTCACTATTGCCGTTTTAGACAGATCCTGCTTGATGCTGCAATGAGTAGCAGATTAAAAAACCCTGGCTTGCAACACTGTATTTGAATTTATCAGAATAGAATCAGTTTCTAACATTTTATGTGTGATTTTAATACAAATTTCTTTCAAATTTTTGAAAGTAATTCAGAACTATCAGCTTATGTGTTTGTAACCGACTATTATTTTTGACAACTTTTATTCACAACTGGTCAGTTTGAAATCCAACCGCAACAACTAATTTTCATAACTTAGATACATTCTATGTAAATACGCAATTAAGGAAATGGTTCACATTCAGAAATATTCCCTCGTAAAAGAAGGTAGCAAAAATCATGGATATTTCTGGCACATGATTAAAAGTTGGTTTACAGTATCCCCCTCAGAATGCCCTGGAACCTCTGTCTTGTTTGCTTTACAGTAGTGTTACATTAATGTTTATCATTATCATCTATACATTAATGTTTATCATAATTATTTAACAGTAATGTTTATTTTGCATCATTTCAAGATTTGTTTCTTTCATAAAATTCTGAAATGCTTTTTCTTTAGTAATGTTCTGGAGGCTTGATTGTGTATATGTAGTGTTTATGTTCTGCAGTTTTACATTATGATGTATTGTCCCATGTGATACATTACTTGTGGCCATGATGTTTTTATTTTTGTACACTTGAGGAAGTGGTTTTGATCGTTGTTATTTCAAGATAATTCATGTTTTTACAATTAAGTTGTCTTAAATTAAGTTTGGTAAATATTTATCAACAGGTGATAATGACAATTTTGAAATATTAAAATTAGTTTAGTTATCTAAGTATATACATACAAACAGTGTTTAATGGGATGGATTTTGCAACATTGTATATTATGTAGGTTTATTAAAGTCCAGAAGTAGTCTGTTGTTCATATGTAAATGATGATTTTTTTTTTTTTGTTTTCATTAGAGACAGCAAAGAATGTCAACTGACTGTACTTATTTTGTGTATGTTCCCTGTCGCTACAAAGCTAACATGATCTATGTGCACATGCTATAGAAGGAGTAGATCATTTGGCAACACTCTGAGGTTATAATTTTTTTTTTTTTCTATTATTTTATCGAATATCAATGAATTTTCTTCGTAAGGTAACATTACTGAACCCTGCAGTTCTAAAACTTTAAATATGTTAATGCAAAAGCCTTTGTACTATGAATTAAACATGGTATGGCCATAAGAGACCTGCTTAAAGGGAACAAAGTAGGATGGCTGAGATTTTTTTTCTTTGTTTTTTTTATGTCAGATATATATGGATATACATGTAGTACCCTCTGCATTTTCATTACCTTCGACCCCCCCTCAAGAAAACCCTCGCACAGTCTGCATATAAATTTTGACTACAGAATGCAAGTTTGAGTATTTGAACATGAATTAAACCCAATGTTCTTATTTTTTAACTGTTTGATGAAAGAAATTTTGTCATTTTCTTGGCATGTGTAACACTATGATTTTAACAATGTTGTTGTATATTTCTGAAGTGTAACATGTTTTTATGTTGTTGTTTTTTTTATGACCATTATTTTGATTTGTGTAATAATCATTCTAACCAGAACCACCCATGTGTACAATAGTAATGATAATCTAACAGTCAGACAGATCAATTGACAGTTGTATTTATGACATGTATTTAGTTTTATTTATTTAATCTGTTGAGCTTTAGAAATCAGACAGTTCAGTTTACAGTTATGACATGTAATTAGTGTTATTTATTTAATCTGTTAAGCTTTGGCTGAATCATTTTCAGAAGACCATATCTCGTATGTTGTTTTTATACTGCTGTTTAAGTTTTCTGTGTTGACGCTATGTTAAGGCTGGCTTCCTGCTGTAACGGCCTTTGTCCTAGGTTGAATTTTTCTTTGTATCTCCTTTATGGTCAAACTAAAAAAAAAAATCCCTTCACTTGAAAAAAAATCATCACTTTCTCTCTGAACAGAAGTATTTGATTATTGCAAATTACTGTTAGATAATTGATAGTTATTGTATGAAATATTTCTCTTCCATGTTACTTTCCTGCATGCCATCTTGGAGGTGAAACTGGTGAATTTAAACATTTGTGGCAGAAATACATGTATATGGGAAAAAATCTTTAAAATACTTAAATTATGTTTGAAGGAGGCTTTAACAAATATATTCACTGGAAAAATTGTTATGTACACCTTATGTCGAGCATGACAAGTTTTAATAAATTGGTTGACTGTAAAGGAATCTCAGGGCTTGTTGACCTCCAATATTGTGAGCAATGAGAAACAACTCTTGCTGAAATAGCATGTCAAAATCTACATTTAGTGCTTTCATAGCTTGTAAAGGAGAACAGTGAAGTATTAATGGAGGCCTAGAACATGCTGTGTGTTTTGTAAATGGTTGTGGTATTCATAAGGTATCAACATTCCTGTAATAAAACTACCTGGTGTGCTGGCTTGTAAAATAAAATGCCATAGAACATATGGTATGGGATATCATCTCTCCATGATGTCTTTTGTATAATATCAGGCAAATATATACATGTCATTTATTTTTATGTGACTTGATATTATTATTATAACTGTGAGTTACATATGTTGTTTTTGTCATTCCTGTAATTATAACTAATGACTCCATTACTGCCACTGATGCTTAAGTTAAAAAGGATGATTAAATGGCTAAAGCACAAAGGTTGTTTATTTTCTTTTTAATGTGTATTATAGGAGTTATCGCCCTTGTCTTAGTTTGATCTTTATCAGACCTCGATATCATATGAGTAATTTACTTCTTAGAGGTTACCAGTGTACCAAACTTGATATGTGTCTTAAGCAAAAGAATCAGAAGATACATAGAGGATATTCAATGTTGGAATTTATTTTACGAGTGGGACAGGATTTTTTTTATATTTTCACGAGTGCGAAGCACGAGTGAAAATATAAAAAAAATCCTGTCTCATGAGTAAAATAAATTCCATATTCATCTACAAAACATTGAATTTTCTGTTCATTACATTTTTTTTTATTTTCCCTTTGCCTCTGTCTTTTCTTAACACAGTGTCATACATTGTAGGCTCTGTCTTCATATTTCAGCAATTGAGACATCATAGCTTAGCAGTTGTGAGATTAAAACTATTGTAACATGGATTTTAGCAATGTATTTGGGAAGAAATTGGCAGTTTAAGTCTCTATCAAGATGGTTTATTTACTTTATCTTATTACAGACCAGAAATTATTTTTAACTTACATTGATATCCTTTCACACTGTGAGATAATATCACTGGTATACTTTCACACTGTGAGAGAATATCACTTTTATTCAATAAATAAATCACAGTATTTCACTGTTGAAAATGTGATAATGATTAATACATCATCTTAAGTCCAAAGTAGATTGACTTTGTGACCTCAAAATCAATTGGGGTCATCTACTTCTTAAGGGAAACC